GGTTGCTAGGAAAACTGTACGATTTTTTTACCAAGCTGTGCGATTTTTTTACCGTACGACGTAATAGGAATCTTGCATTGATCGAAGACGGTGTGTTTTTAAGTATTTAAAGTAGTGGTCGTAGGTAAAGTATAGTACGTAATACGTGGTGTAATGCAATTACGCACTCATAGAATTACGCACTCGCCGCTACGCGGCGTCGTGCGTAACTTTTCCATTCGTGCGTAAAATGCTTTTTACAACACTTATTACGTAATATACTATTTTCTGTATTATGAATAACAAGGGAGTGATTTTACTTTCTCACACTATCAATCAAATATCAATATAATCGATCATCGTCAACTACCATAAAAGCTTGCAAGTCAGTTAGAAAACAATACACTTCTTTTATATATTAGTCACAAAATTAAATGATAAAAAAATTCATTAATTTTTGCGAAAAAAATATTTTCAATTTAGAAGAATGAATAAAAAAAGCAGAAATTATCCTTTAATTTGATTTTTAACAAAAATTTCAGTCATTCGGATCACAGTGAAAGAAAAATCGCAGCGATTTCAACTCTTGAGGCTTCCTTTGGGATACTTAAAAAAAAAACGAAAATATCATTAGTCTATTCATTCAAAATCCTTAAATTTTTTTCCGCCGGATTTCTTAAAGATAGACAATAATAAAAGTTTTTGAGTTTTTGATTTTGAAACTGGAAACGTTAAGCTTCAATTCGCTTTTTTGTTATTGCTCTACGATCATTTTTCACCAAGTTACAGCGTTTTGAAACTTGCATAAATATTTATGATTTTTTTATCCTTATTTTTTTTTTTTACTAGTGTATTTAGTGAAATATCGTTTTACTTTATTTTTTATAAACATTTTTAGGTGTTCCATTAAATTATGTGTATTGGATAGAAAGTACATGCAAATTTAGTTGTTTTTATAGGTATATTTTCATTTTTATCTTTAGATAGATACCTACTTATGTAAGCAGAAAAAATCTTACACTACAAAATTATATGAGACTATTACCTGACCCGATGCAAAATTTGTTTATAATTTCTTGGAAATGTTTACAGAACCGAATGTTTATTATTGTATTAACAAACTCTTTTATATTTCAGTACGTAATACGTGTAAATGCGTTTAAAATGTCAAGGGTAATTGTCTCACATTTCATTCGCTGTTACCTATTGTGTTGAACTACAGTGCGCAATTTTTTTATATTGTTAATTAATCGTTGAAGTAAACATAATTGTAAAATTATATCAGGAGATAAACTTTCATTTGCTCGTTAGACAATAAACTGATACTAATTAAAATGGTACACAATTTAAAATCAAGCGGGTCATGAATTTTTAATTGTGTGAAGATTAGTTTGGAATATTTTTAATTTTTGAAGTGATGAGTGTAAGATACATTCATAGATCTAAGAGAATGACACATTTTATTCAACCAATCGGCAATCGCATTATCTCGAGTGTAGATTCAACGATTTCATAACTCAACAAAAATATTTTTTGAGTTTTGGTAGTCTGTAATGAAAGTGTGATATAATATGTCTGTGTATAGATATTTAGAAAGATTAAAAAATAAACTTCTTTTTACAATATATCTCTAAATTATTCAGGGATTTGTCTGTATAAACAGCGTTTATTTGTTCTAGTTTATCTATATGTTCATGTAAATACTCACAAATAAGCAATCAGGTTTGTTTATGTCAATCTTCCTCTAAAGAAACAATGCATAAATTAAAAGTATGATATAATACCAACAATTCAAAATATCATTTTTATACACAGGTACAATTTTATAGAAATAAGTGCAAAATATTTCAGCACATTTATTTAAATCTTTATTGGTATGTAAATAAATCCAACTTAGAAATATTACTAATTTGATTGTTACTATTTACACGATTGGCGTTTTTTTAAATTAAAAAATTCGAAATAATTTATGTATATCGCAAGAATCTCATCTATTTATTCTAAGTGATAAACTCATTCGCCGTATAATCCCATGACAATTGAATTTTTTGATAGACTGTAACTGAACTCAAGTCGACACAGATTGTCATTTTCTTAAAACGAATTCATGAAATAAACAATATAGTAAACCGAATGAATGATTAAATGGGGACTTGTGCAAATATTTTCGTTTGTTTTAGCAATAACGTCGATATCGTTGTTATTGTCTGCCTGTTGTACATACTATTTTGATAAAATTCTTGTTTACGTATCATAAATATTTATAGTTTTCTTATGCTTGTTCCAGGTTGAAGTCGGCGATGTGATACTCAAAGTAAACGAGACAGATGTCATAAGATTTAGTACGAAAGAGGGTAAGTAAGTTATCAATTAGTTAATACGCTGTTCATTAATTAGCACTTGCGTAATTAACAAGTGTAATTTTTTCGTCTCACCAAGCTGGAGCTTTTAATAATTTATTAACACTCATTTTTTTTGCTTTTTCAGTTTTAAAATGTCTGCGGTTATCATCTGATCCTGTCACGCTAAAAATTAAACGCGGTAAGGCTAATTTTTATCCTCGAGTGATATTAAAGATTTCAAAAGATGCCTACTTTCATAAAAACATGTACATATTACCTTTAGAAATCTTTGATTTTGCTCTTCATACTTGTAAAGCAAAATCATGGCATTTGGTCCACATTGTTACTTTGTACAAATAAAGCTAGGCGCACATGAACGTTTTGCGTTCGGCCAATAGCAATTAATTTGTACGCTCGTGAAGTAATTCCTCAACCTGTTGAATATAATAGGCAAAAAATCGTGCGAAATGAGATCTGAAGTCTAACTCGATTAAAATGTATGGTCTAGGTGTTTGGATACGGATTGGTCGTTTTTGTATACTGTTGTGGCTTTAACACATCCATCAAATCGCATAACGCTTACTGTTCAGGTGCGCTTAGCTTAACAGTATTTTTTAACAGGTGTCTTTAATAAATTATTTATAATTACATATTTATTTCAGTAAATTTTTCGCATTTTACATTTTATCTAAAATAGAAACTAGGAATAAAACTGTGCAAAACAGTACTAATATTAACCAACTGCGCAAGTAATATTTCCAACATTAACGATGCACACTTATGCTCGACGTCTTTAAAATTAAATATTTCTAGTCGTGACTAGTTATGCAAATATTTTCATCAATCACTGTACTAGTTACATATGTTGAAATAAGTTATTTGATACTAAATTGCTACAATTAATTCGCAAGTAATCAAAATCTATTAACATACTTTAAAAAAAATTAATCAAACAATGAAACAAATTAAAATCGATTTGAATCGACACGTGTACCAGAATATAGTTATGATCATCTAATAAGTCTAAAAAATAGAAAAATAGTACAATTTCCAACTTTATAATAAATAAGACTATAATTCTAAGTACATAATTATACAGTACCTTCGTCCATAATCGCATAAGGAAACGGGAAGGCTCGATGAGAGCGAGCAAGACATGTCCGCGCCTGTACTGTGCAAATAACCACATTGAACTTGACCTAACTTAAGTGGCGCGATGCAAAGTCGGCCTAAGTTTCACGTAATAATTACCCCTTTGAAGGAACGCACTTATTTCAGAAACACCCTGTTGTATATGACTTCTACCATCATTTTATAAATAAACTAGGTTTTGAGGGATTCATCTTGTACGTTAATGTAATGTAAATAAACATTAAATTGTGAGTGGTAAAGCCTCCCTTGAAGGCTAAGTGGATTTTCTAGCATCACTGCGAGAGCAGGTACTACTTTGTTATGCCAGAAACGGCGGATGCCGCTGTTTTATTATCATTACGATATTTATTTCCGGCAGTAAACGTGTACAAATAAATTGTATTTCCCATATAACAGCTTTTAGTGAGATTTTACGAGCCATAAAAGCAGAAATTTATGAAATTAAAGCTCATTCCGGCCTCTTTTACATTATGACTCGATATGATAGCAATTTCGTCTTCGTGTTATAATTTACTCGTTTTAAAATTTCCTTGACGAGGAACATGGAGTTACCGCTTAATTTTGTGTTCGGCGCTCGAGTCGGATTGGGATTTTAAAATTGTAGGAGCTACTGCGCAAGGTGACCCGAATGATAAAGACGACCAGATCCAATCTGGGCAGTCGTCAACGCCCACGCGTTCTGTTTGAAATCGGTCTTTTCATATCGTTCAATCATACACTGCTCCAGAAAAAATTGAAAGCTACGCTTTGGAAAATTTGTTGGCATTACGTATTTACTGCTTGACTTGACCCGCATTTTTGATTTCTGTATGAAATCGTTATTTAACTGGCAAGGAAAGAAAAAAATCATAAATTTTTAAGTGACTTTCAAAAAGTCGTAACTTAAGGAAAAATGGTGAAAAGGTCCATGGGCTTCAAACAATTTTTTTTTGGCAATCCCACATCAGTAGCTCTTTTAGTTTCTTTAATTTGGACTGTTTGTACGATGATTTGTTATCATCGTTCAAAGCAAAAATAACTAATGATCGTACAGAAAATCTAAACGGCGTTTTCAAAACTTCAAAATATCTTCTATAAGACGTTCTTGTCGCTTTTTGAGAAAAAAATTGGGTATTTAAGATTTTCGCTAAACTTGAGATAAATTTACAAATAATGAATAGACATTTTCGGTATTTCTTTAACCTTAAAGTATTTCAAAGGAACCCTCAAGAGTTCAAACTGCTGCGATTTTTCTTTCATTGTGTTCCTAATGGTTGAATTTGTCACTTTTGCTAAAAATCAGTTCAAAGATAAATTTTGCATCTTTTATCCATTTTTTAAATTGAAAATTTTTTGTTCTGCAAAAATCCGTATTTTTTATCAAAAAATGTTAAATATTAAGAAATGAAAAAATATAATTTTTTTTTTCAAAATGGCAAAATTATGATGGTGGACGTTTTTGAAAGTTAACTGATTGTCACCATATTTTGTATACGGAGGTTTTCGAGGTTGCTGATCACGAATCCGAGGTCAGATTTTCAAAATTCAAGATGGCGGATCCAAGATGGTGGATGGGGTTTTTTAAATTTAATCAATGGGGCCAAATTTGATATATTTTGGGGGTCACTGACCCCACATTCGTGATCAGCAACCCAAAAAACGGCCGTATACGATCTTTGATGCAAATCGACTGATTTTCAAAAAAAATTCGTCCGCCATCTTGAATTTTGCAAATTTGACCTCGGATTCGTGATCAGCGACTCCAAAAACCCCCGTATACAACGTTTGGTGCAAATCGGTTGATTTCCGAAAAATTCGTCCGCCATATTGAATCCGCCATCTTTATTTTTTAAATTCGTCCTCGTATTCGTGATCAGCGACCTCGAAAACCACGGTATACAAAATTTGGTGACAATCGGTAAACTTTCATAAATTGCGTCCGTCATCTCGATTTCGCCGCCATTTTGATTTTTTGGGGTTCCCATAGTTTTATGCCACCCTGTATACTTTCACTATCGTACATCTGTGAACGTATACTATACTTTAATTGCGCCATCTGTTGATTGGAAGTTCAACTATAATCTCATAGCACTGGCCTCCTTTTGTTTACTAAAAAAGGGAGAGAGAAATTACTCAAATAAGAGGTTTTCTGTAATACCATATCCATACAAAGTTGATGACTATGACGTACAATTAAACTATAAAATCAAATAAAGATTTATGGAAATAATTGTCGGTGAAATTTCTTTACTACAAATGAGGCACACTGATTGTGAAAGAAGAAAGTGGAAATAAAAGGATTTGAATAATACTTATTAGCATATTTTTCCAAATACATTTTGCTGCAATACTTAATGAGTATGAAAATAAAATATTAACAGAATTGATGTATTATTCAGGATGCTCTCAAATAAATAAATTAACAAAATATAAAACAACAAAAAGAAACCATATCTTAAAATTTCACTAGTAAATAAAAGAAACAGAGTTTTAATTCTCTATAATTAAAAAGAAACACTTAACTTTATAGTTTTTAATTTTAACTTCAAAGCAAACTATAAAATATTCGGATAAAAAACATTATTTTGCTAATTCACTTAAAGCAAGATGAATATTGTCTTCTGATTCCAGACCAACATGTTTTTGGTCATTTTGAACATATTCAGTATGTTCATCAACTTCTAAAAGTAACAATGTTGTAATTTTTTAAGTAATCTCTAAAAGTTATTAATATTGACAAATCTAGTAGTTGGAACCTTTTATATTTTAGATTTTAATAAAGATTCAAATTTTCAGAATTTTTGCGTTTGTTTCAAATTTTTCTTTGAAAAAAGAAACAGTTTTCTGCACCATCCGATTGTTCAGAAATTTCTTTCTGGGTATTCCTTGAAATTAACTACATTTTCTTAAGTAGGTACAGATAGAACAAAACTTGTAAAGGAACGAATGTTTCAGAAATTCATTTTTTAGTGATCGTTTTGGATAGCTCTTTAATTGATACATTAATTGTCGTGGTGACGACATTCCTGGAAGCTATCGAACTAAGTTGGATAATCGTAAACGACATCGGGGCGAAGTTGGGGTGAATTTCGTCGACCTCTGAACTTTTGCATCGATACTGGCACATGAGATCAGTTGACAAACAGTCAAGGGCTATTAGCCTGAGAGTTACTAGCCCCGAGACAAGATCGTTTTATCTTTCCCACAATAAGTTCTCCAGAAATCGAGAGGGCAGTTACTCGAGACTTCAAACGTGTTCCGATAATACTGTTCTAACTAGATAAAATTCGATACATTTTTTTAATAATGCTTAATAACAACCATTAGTGAAGTATTCGTTCTAGAAATGTATATATACATTTAACGTAATTTAGAGAATAAAAAATATAAAATCAGTAAATGTTTGTCCCCAGAGTATGGAAATTTTACAATCGCTTTAAGCAAACATCTTTTTTGTAAGTCAGTATCATACTTATGTAATGTAAAATGTTCTTATTTTTTACGTCATTTTCTGTCTGGACTAGCACATTCCTTTGCGATTTGCTTCGTGAAGACTATCTGCGATTGTTTAACAAAGCAAGGTCATGCAGTTGTGTCTTATACTTTAAATATCAGACATATTTTTAGGTGGCCTTGTTCTATACCCTAGGAAATTTTCATTCTCTTCGTGACAGGAAATACGGATATTTCTTGCTTCTTTCCATATTGTCTGATCGTTATTTTAGTTCTTTTTTTTAATCAAAAACCGGATTCCCTTAAGACTTTATACAGCACGTTTTTCTATGATTAATCAAATATCACTGAACTGTGGTACAATCAAAACACTGAAAACATAATTGGAACTGCTGGTGTCGAGAAGGAACGACACTTCACAGTAAATGTCAATCTGCTTTGCTAACACATAAGTGACAATTCATCATTAACTTTTCTATCACACAAATTTATTGAAAAATTCCTTAGAAATAATTCAAAAGGTTTAAGTCTACATATATACACCTATCTGAAATATATTTTTGTACAACACGAGGGTAATGATAAATATTTCTGTAGGTTTCAAATAATCGCCTCCCCAAGTCCGTAAACGATCGATTCGATAATAAAAACGTTTAATACTTATTTTACATATTTTTGGTAGTAGTGGTGCTGGTTGTATTTGAGCTGCTGCTGCTCCTTTATGATTTAAAGCAGTGACTAACCTCTGCGTGATGTTATGCGGCATCCAAGATCCTAGACAAACTGGTTATTATATTCTCAGTTAGATAAACAGTTTCTTATTGCCTTTTGCAAATTAGTCTGCTTTGCTCTGCACTTCGATGATACAGAGGAAAATCGTGCTGTATTCTTGTGCCTTGTGTAATGGTGAGGGCTGGTAATAAATACATTCATGAATTAATATGTGCGCATTGTTGTTACTTGAACAGTTTTGATTGTGTATTGAAGAACTTGCAGGGATATAGTGTGGTTCCTTTTTCAATCAAAACTTTCCAAAGTAATAAACAAAGTGAAAATTGCAATATTGCTGTAGTATGAATCTTTTTTTCTGTAATGCAGGTAAAGAATGTTGCACTTTGTATTTTGGTTGCTATTAAAGATATCAAATTACGTCTAGCCACATTAATATTTTATATTTTTTATTATAATCATGAACATATTACCGTAAAATGTTCTCTCAACTCTACTATTTTTACCAATTAACCCTACTTTTTGGATTCGATGTACGGCGCCGATAATTATAGGGTAAAAAATTGCTACCAACTATCTAGTAATAATTACACACTTTATAATGCAGTAAGTTGAATTAATATTTAAATAATTTGTAAGAAATTGCTCAATGACGGGATGACCCACAAACTTTAAGGGAACATTCCTCAGAAAAAAATAATTAAAAAAAAAATGTATATCAAATATTGGCCCATAAATGCACCATGCGCCAGATATTTGCATGCCTTTTTTTTGAAAGAAATGTCTATTTATTGTTAGTAGTTAGAAAACCATGCCAGATATTCTGTCATTCAATTATTATCAGTGGCGTAGATATGGGGAGTTAGCCCATTTCTTAATTCTGTAATTTATATGCCTACTATGACCTTTTTGCTCTTTGTATGATTTGAAAAACGACATATTTACTTAAAAAACACTTTTGTCGTATTTTCTTATAAATTTTGAAGTAAACATAATAAATCGTTGCACTTTCTTTTTTTTGAACATTAACAACTACACTTTTCTAAAAAAAATTAAAAATATCCTTGGATATTTAGATGAGAAGCACAATTCTGCCTTTTACGTTCTTTAGGCGTAACTTGCTCGATTTTTTTCTGATTTATACGACTCCACTTGAAAATTTTAAAAAATTGCGGAATCGCGTTGTCGCGTGGAACAGTCGCATTGTAGAATAGAAGTTTGTAATGAAGTTAAAGATCGCCATTTCCAACAGATTTTGTAAAAATATATTTAGTATTTGCAGAGTAAATTCTAGAAACGGAAATTTATTTCATTTTCCTCTTTTTTTACTAAAAAGCGGAAAATTTTGTGAAAAAATGCAAGAGATAAGAAAGTTTCTTAATAAGCCAAGTTCTGAACCACATATTTTGAACTACTAATTTTCAGCTCCTTAAAAAGATATAATGAAAAAAAAAAACATTAATGGTTGCCATTTTGAACTCCTTTCGAGGATGCTTAAAAATATCGCTTGGGATTGAGTTTTTCTATGTTCCTACAACTGTGAGAAATAAACAAAGCATAATTTAAATTTCTTTATAAAAAATCTCTGCTAATCTGAACAAGATGGACATAGAAAAATAATATAAAAATACAAATTAAGCATAAAACATATATGAATACATAACACATTCATATATGAAACACATATGAATAAATTTTAAAAAGTAGCAGAAAACTTTAAATAATAATAATAATAAATAAAAAAAATGTAGTCTAAGAAAAAGGATAACATTCAGTTTTCGTTTTTTAATTTATTCGTACTTTTATATTCAAGTACATATATTCCTTTATACTATTTTTATTTGTTATTATTTTTGTATACATGTTATTCAGGTTTAGTTATATCTTTATGTTAACAGTAGTTAAGATTCTTTTGAAAAACTGTAGTGTCTATAGTAAAACAAACAGAAACATTATTAATAATACAAACATACAATACAAATATAGTATTTTTACAGAAATGTGTTTTAGCAAAGTGACAGATAGGCACAGAAGCTTTAAGATAATTGTTGATCCCCTATATCTACGGCACTGGTAATTAAAATATAGAATGAATAGCATGGCTTTGTAATATATGGTATAGTCTTTCTGAAGTCAGTTGAACATGTATAGAAATGCCTAGCAATAAAATTTAATGAGTTTCATAGCCTCTAGTTTTCTGCTAGATGAAAAAATTATAATAATTTGTAATATATAATATAATATTTTAATTATTTATGTCCTCAAGCAATTTTATTATGTTGATGGTAAATATTGTTCCGTTTCAAAAGGTCTCCAAAATGCCATGTAACAATACTAGTAAACAAAATATCCCTCTTATTTTTCCCTTTCGCAATTGTAATATTGAATGATTAATGGAAGGTGCCTATAATAAATTAAAATTACCCGAATCACACCAAATTCCGCATTGCTGCACTGCACTGCTAGGCAATTTGTCAACCACTTGTCAACAACTAAGATTTATTGCCCAGTCGCCCAATGCAGCTGTGTTATACACCAACTGGGCGTATACATTTCTACCACCTCCACGTTTAGTTCGACGAGACCTGTATATGGGTATGGTTTATAAGTTTTTCAAATATTTCAATGCCGAGTTGCTGCGTCAGCTACCGAACCTGGTACATACTGTCGACCTCTTGGTTCTTCAATTGAGATCGGAAAGACTATACCAAATGTAAGATTACAGTGCCAAATTTTGTGGAACTATAATTGCACAGACTTAATATATTAAGAAAATATGTTATTGTTATTTTTTTAATTTGCTAACGGTACATCGCCAAAGGTTTTTAAAACTTTATTTAAGATTGCTTAAAGTTTGCCTATTTTCTCATTGACACCTGTATAATAATTAAAGTGCATTTTTATAATGATATTCGTGAACTAAAAATAATTAAAAACCATGCCAGCCAATATTACAGTAGTTAGAAATGACCGTAAAGAATCACCCTTCGCTTTTCCCACAGATCCCAAGATAAAGGCGACTGTTCGAAAGCACCTGCTCTCTGTAAACACTACCGGCGAAGGCGACAAGACGACCAAGATACCTGGAGTACACCACAATTCCCCCAGGCCGGAACCAGCCGTCCACAAGGCCCACCACCAGCATGGTCGGTTCGGGACGACCAACGGTAGCTGCGCGGAACAGGAGCCGCTCCTCGGCCGCCATCAGGAAGCCCCAGAGGAAAACGAGAGACTGCAGTGGCAGCCGCTGGCAGCTAACGAGAAGTCCAAGGGACAGCCTAAGTTCGAGGCATACATGATGACTGGAGAGCACATACTCAATATCTCGCGCATGCCTCAGACTACCATTGTTCCGAAGCAACAGAAAAAAGTAAGTCTTTCCTTGGTCACCATCTTCTAAAATAAAGTTTAATAACTGTATACCGTAAAACCATGCCTAAAACATCTCATATACATCAGAAATCATGAAGCAAGTATGCTCGATGTCTAAGAATCATGAAACTTCGTATTAATTAATGCTTTAACATCCTAAATAGATTTAAATGATAAATACTTAAAAATTCCTCCCAAAACTCTATTAACAAGCAGCTACAGTTATCAATTTTTGAACGTACACCACTAACAGTGTATCGACTCAAATCCTATTGGATGCTGCATCGCCGCTAATTGCAACCAATGCAATCTTTAACTCCTTACTGCACACTCTTCAATTTGAGTCTTGAAATGAAAGAGACGATGCTACATGTTTAAATGTGTATGAGCTATTTATGGTCTGTTTTAACTTAAAGTAAAAACATAAATGAAAATACAATAAAAGTAAAATCTAAACAAAACACAATTTACTTAAAATCTGTAGTCTAACATATTTTACTTATTGTTGCTTTTAGAGGAATGTTGCGGATAATAGTTTTGGAGTTGCTTTAAAGCGGAAAATAATCGTTCTATGTGTATAGACCTAAGAGATCTGAACATAAAAGTTAATGAAAAAGAGCTATCAAAATTTGTCGGTTGCCCATAATTTGTAACATTGTAGCTTAACCTGAATTATTGTTGTAAAACAAACTACAAGTTTCTATTCTGAATAGTAATTTAAAGATACCATTACGATGGATATACACAGCAAATACAGCTTAAACTATTTACTTACAGCACACCTCTTTCAAAGACACCAAAATGTCACATATAAATCAAATAAAAACTCAAATTTTATAGTACTTTATTATTTATTTTAAGATTATTACTAAGTCTAATTTGTCTACGTATTTATTTAGCATTTAGCATATATGACTTTGCTTCAAGAGAACTTTAGGAACAATTTTTTAAATAGTGCAGAATCATATTATTTATATTTGCTGTAAATGATTGGCACGAGATAACTATTAAGGAACATTTGTCTTGAATAACATCTGTAAATACCCTTAAAGTCATATGAGTCGTAACAATTTAATTTAATACAAGTATAATTAATTTTATCTTTTGTATACATTAGAAGCTTCTATAGTAGGATCGTATTCGATGCAAAGTAGAGCAAAAAGTTATCGGTCCTTTATCGAAGGAAAATCGTGTCAAATTTAAAATGAAATTCAATGTTAAATCTGAAATACCACTGCATACGCACTGTGTTCTGGTAGTAGCTGTAGTCACCCAGGTGCATCGAGTGTACGAAGTGGTCGGTTATGCGTCAAATACTAACCTGGCGAGCTTGATCGTAAAACAGAGAGCGCCTCCAAAAAAACAAGTAAACAACAGTGGCGCGTACAGAGGTAAAATGTAGTACATATGTGGAAATTAAAAAACAAATTGGATTTATAATAAATTACATTTAAAATAAATAGTTTATGAGAATAAAGGAATTTTTGTAGGAACAAGGGTGTCAGACGTGAACTGATCCCTTTGCCCCTTCATAATGTATAAAGAAATTATTCAATTTCTAAACCCTTAAAAGTGTACTGCATTGGTTCCCTTGACAGGCAATGATTTATTACTTTGCATCGAATATGATCCTACTATAGAGATTTAACAATTAAAAAAAAATTAAAAAATACTTATCTTATTAAATGGTTTTTGTGATATATTTTGCTTTAATAAATTTCCATGAGTTTGGAAATAACACAGTTTGACAAATTCTCTCAAATCTCAAATTGTTAAAACTCAATCACGAATTAACAGGAAACTTAATTTTTTATGAGCAAACAAAAAGGGACGAAATATATTTAAAAAAAAAATGAAAAACAGTATTTTCTCTAACTTTCAAGTATTCGTTTAAATTTTAATTATATTGCTGAAAAATACATTTGTGATGGTTTTATTAGATCAATATTATTATAACTGAACTTAATATTTTCTCCCATAATAAAGTTTTTAATATTTTGATAAGAAAAATATTTCCTGATTTTTATAATTTTGTATTACAAAAAAAAAATATTAAAAAATTAAAAATTTTACGTTTTCTCCTAGACCAAAAATCCCATTTATTTTATATACATATAGACATTTTTTAAAATGTTTGATTTTATCACAAATGTAATTCAATAAGTTCAGTTCTAGATAAAAATAATATAATCGAAGGATAAATAGATTATATCTGATAGATATACTTTTTTTCGTTAAATCTTCAAGTGTCAAATTACTATTAGGAAATAGTGGCGCCACTCCTTATTTCGTACTACGAATTTATCAGTTACAATACTTGACTATTAGATGAGGCATATTTGTTTGTTTACAATATTTATTAATCTATCTAGTAGAATTCAGAATGATAAGAGTAGTTTATGAACAGCATAATGAAGGTAAAGCTGATATAGAATTTAATAATGGGACATGATAGAAAATAGAAATGTTCTGATAAGATATAACTTTTCGAAGGATAAAACTAGTATGTGAACATAGATGATAAAATGTGTAATCTGTTCAAAAGGATAACTGTATCCGCTATTATTTTTTAATAAATTATGAAAAAATTACATTATTTTATATTACAAACTGTAACAAGGCTAATGAAATTAATTTGTTCTATTCTTCTAATTTTATACAAAAAAGTTTAATGTTACATAAAAAATTGAATACTGTTGAAATAAAAGCAGAGTAGTGTATTTATTTCCGTTTTTCCTTCTTTCCAGGTGGACAATTTGAGGTATCACAACAGCCACGCCCACCACTTACGCCATCAGCAGCACAACTCAGTGCCAAACAGCCCAAACGAGATGGACCTAGGCCACCGGGTGGGCGGCAAGTCGGGCCCCAACTCTGCCAGTACTTCCCCCGTCAGTGCCAACAAGAGGGATCAGCACCAACATTCCCCCGCAGATCCCTACTCCTCCAACAATTACGTACGGACGAGCCGGTCCGAGGACCAACTTCAAGGACAGCAGAACGACCTGTGCAGCGTCAGCGTCGCTAATGCCGAAGCCGACGAGGACGTCACCAGCTCCCTCAATACTCTCCTGGATACTCGGCCCGAATCAGCAGGCTGCACTAGTGATAGTGACCGGATAGTCTGGACATACAACGCCCCCATCTCCGACCACCACAAATTCGCCCACACCCTCTCCAACGGCAGCAGTTCTTCTCACAGCAACATCTCCCCGACATCATCCAGTCCCCTGCACTCAGGATCCCCAGCCTCACCCACATCAGTGTCTTCCTCTGTCATGTCAAGTCAATCGGGCTCTAGACGTGTACCCTTCTCTCTGCCAAACGGGCCCGCCGGTCAGCACACTGGGGACTACAGTGTATCCGAGGCGGTTTCGAATATCTCCAGCCCCGATTATCGGGATGACGACAGTGTCGGCATCAGGGACTGTGTTATGGAAATTAGTGATCATAGTGACAGCGACAGTACTTTGTTGGTGTCGGAACCGAGGCAGAGGTACGTGAGGGTGCATGGGAACGCCGCGGGCACGGATAGTGATCATCGTATTGTGATACAAGTGAAGGGACCTGAGAAGGACAGGGCTAAGCAGAGCGACAGTGCTTCTACGCTTAAGAGTGAACCATGTGGATATCAGGTAACTCATTTTTTATTAATTGATTAACTTGGAATATAATTTTCCCTCCAATTTTGTTTATTAATTTTGTTTTCTTTATTTTTTCATTCCCATTATGTATGAAGAGAAACATTTAGAAAATCTTCAATGAAGTCAAAAAAATGTCAACATTCAAATTCTAAACATAAAATTTTCTCAAGATTTTTAAAATTCTTTTACTTTATTTTAAAGGTACTAAAGTGTTTCAAGTTTTAAGAGCTACGGCATGCATTGTTGTCAAATCTCATCTTTCTTGAGTCGTATACATGTTTTTTTTAATAATATCACAAATGATTTAAACAATGAAGACGCACAAACACACCACACCATCACCAAATACTGAAATAAATAATTTTATAAGCCTACATACTCCACACAAGACATCTCACTAAATACCAGTTTAAATTTTATAGCAATTTAAGCTTAATGAAACATAACACTGCGCTAATTCTACTTCGATTCTAGCAAAAACTAATACTTCACATAGAAAGGCATGCAATTATCTAAGTATTATGAACGCCTTCTCGTAAACCGATAAAATGAAAATTAAAGTAAATGTAATAAAATGAAATGTTGATATATTCGCTTATTATCACTTTGCAGAATTAACATTGGCTGTTTCTTTTTTTTTTTGTCCACCTAGCGGTGTTGTCATATCACACCAAGTGGATTATTATTATGTAGTTTACTTAAATGAGATGACACTGAGATTGACAAACTAAACACATGCTTTAAAAAATTATTAAATAGTTTTTTTAAAAATCTGATAATGCCTATATAAATATTTAAAATATCTCAAATTAGTAAGAATTTTTATATATTTGTTAGTATGTACATTTTTTATAATGGCAGTAATAATTATTTTAAAACATACATTAGCTGTACTTGCAGTAAGCCTATCCACATACCAATATTAGTTAATATTTAATAAATCGTGCAATAAATATAAATTTTTGCAAGAATACTCAAAAATTTTAAAACAGTTTATCGTTTTGTCCTCATTGATAAAAAAAAATTGATTTTAAAATAACAGGTTGCTAAGTCATACAAAAGCAGTCTGTTTTTACAAAATTATTTTTGTATTACAATTTTTCTCCTCTCTGCTACTTTGTTAGTTAAAAAAGGCACTACTGATGAACACGCTCATATAAAAAACTGACTCCTATGTAAAGTTACATCCTGTATATTCTCTAATACCAAATACCTAAGTATGCTAAAGAAATAACTTTTTAGTCAAGTTGTCTAAATTGCAAAATACATACTATACAGGGTGTAAGAAGTTTGACTGCCATTACTTCAGCATAAGATAGAATAATCATAAATGAACAAAAAAGTTGTATATTACAGGGGGCGTAAGATTAACAGTTTTCAAAATACAACGAGTATTCATATTGGGGAGTTTCATCACAACGTAACAACAGCTCTTAACCTGCTGATGCACACTATCTGTACAAGTCGGCAGACTTGTCCTACGGCAAAAATGTAAACAACTATTATTGTGAAACATTTAGTAAATTTCAATACAATTGTTTTCCAGTTTTTAAATAAATAAAATAAAATGTATCGATTTTGTAGTACGAAGATAGTATTGTGCTCGAATTTTGTAATTATGAATCTCTTAAAACAGGAACTTAACTTTTAATCAAATTACGTATTTGAGAAATATATAATTAAAGTACTCAAATGTTCACGTCGTCCAAATAATCATACATATTTAAAATAATTTAGGTACTTACCAAAAAGCAAAATTCAGTAATTTTTAAACGCACAAATGTCCACCACTATTTTCGATGCACGCATGACTCCATTGAATCCAATTTTCGCGCACTCACTGGAAAACACCTCAAGAAAAGGAAATAGTGGTACACAAAAAACACTCAGATACAGTCCAATTCCAGATACCAACTGAATACGTCGTGTTATTCACCGCGCCGTTGTCACATTGCTCGATATGAATTTTATCGAATTTTAAATTTATTACAACGCTAATTATTATTTAGAATAAAGAATTTCAAAAAAGTGATAAACATTGTATTTTATGCCATTCTATGCACGCAGTTATGTCGATATTCCTTAATTAATTGAACGTTTGTACATCAAGTTGGAGATTTTGATAATTTTTTTCTCGGAAATGGTTGAGTTTGACCCATGTCATATAAGGTTTTTTTGTTTATTTTAATGTATTCTATCTGTTAAAATTAAAGCAGTCAAACTTCTAACACCCTGTATAGTCTCCCATGTTTCTAATAGATAATACTTTGAACTTTCATGATATATAAATTTGTAATTAACCGTGATAGCTAAGCTCAACTATTTCTGCATTTTGAAGACAGCTTTTTCAAGTGATGTCCTTTTAAAAGAAATGTTCAAGTGCCGATATATGAAGTATCTATATATGTATTTGTTATTCTTCAAATTAAATAAGATTTTTCACAATTTTTGAGCCCACTCTTGAGAAAATAAACTCAGGAATTTAATTATGAAGTATATATAGCTGTATTAAAACAATAAACTACCTTATAACTCATAAAATGATCTGTATCAGGAAAAACCATTACACCATGAAATACTTAGGATAAATATAGAACTTTTACAACAAACTTCAAGGAATGTTACTATTGAGTAAATTCTTTTTATGTAAATTCCATTTCATTCACCGAATGCTATAATTAATTTATTAAATAATAGGTAATGCCGTGGAAAGTAAACATATTGGATGTTAAATTGCCAAGATATTTTTTATAAAACTTGTTAACAAATATTTACAAAAATAAGCAAGAAAATAAGTAGGTTTAAAAAATTTAAAAAAAAAATAAAAAATAGGATAGGACATATTGAACCTACAAATTTTGTCAGCTGATTTTTTTCAGTTTTTTAAACATTGTTTTTTCTTCTGCAAAATTAACATTCCAAATACTACCAATTTTTATAAAAATTTGTTATTATTTTTAATTTTGTATAATTAATATTAATTAATATTTTTGTTTAAATATATTTCCTGATGTATTTTCAACTTTTTAAATTATATTTTATATTTTCATTTAATTTTTTTAAATTTATCTAAAAAAGTAGTTTTGCACTTTTGGTCAAATATTTTCCATTGTTTTTTTGCATAATTGATTTTTAATAATTGATTAACCATTAACATTAGCTATGGTGTGTAGAATAACATTGAGGTAATAGAGCTTAAAAAAAATTGTAATGCACTATTTCAAAAATTGACATCTCAAAAAAGTCGGAAAATTTATGGTTTGCCATTTTGAAGAAGTTATAATTTCCAAATATGCACATTTTTAGGGTTCTATTTACTTCTCTATTAGAGGTGTGCACCTATAAATTGGGACACCCTATACATTTAAAATTCAATGTTGTTTCTATGTCCTCCATTAAACATATTTATCAAAAAGTAGAAAATAAATTAAAACTTTCGTAACCAAACCCTTGCAGGATTCAGACACAGATTCAAGCTCATTTATGTAGTTTTAATACTGCAATTAGCACCTTTGTAAAGAAGACATAAATTTGCCTCACGTCAACTATAAAAAGTCAGTCAATGCGACGTGTGTCATTATAAGTTGCACTGACATTGTAAAATGTAAATTAGCCTTAGTGCTGACTCAAATAATTCTATTAATAAACAAGTATCTAATTCTTCGCATACATTTTCTCGCCAGATATCAAGTGATTCGACTCTAGAAGGTGATTACGAAGAGGAGAGCGTAAAGGAAGGTGCTAACAAGTCATCCCCCTTATCCTCGGAGGACGAGAGTGATGTGGAAAGTCTTCACAGCTTCCATTACTCACCAAAAGCAGTGGACATGCCTTCGGCGATCAGGTTGGCCAAGAGGTTGTATAGTCTCGATGGGTTCAAGAAATCCGACGTTTCAAGACATTTAAGCAAAAAGTAAGTCACGCTCGCTTAGAGACGATTGAAAATCAACACAAATATTTCCTTTTCAGTAACGATTTCAGTAGGGCTGTGGCTGAGGAATACTTAAAGTATTTTAACTTCGAAAAAGATACGTTAGATATAGCTTTACGAAAGTTCCTTAAACAATTCTCTCTCACTGGTGAAACTCAAGAGAGGGAGAGAGTTCTCGTTCATTTTTCTAAGAGATATTTAGACTGTAACCCGGGTTCATTTAATTCACAAGGTACGTGCATTTAAATTTATACTGTCAAATTTTATACAGGGTGTCCCATTTTAACAGCACAAAAAAGTGTCGCAAATTTATTTCTTCAAATTTTTGTGTTAAAATGAATTATTTAATTTTTCATTTCTGTTTAACTCATTTTACAGAAGAGTCCGTCTTAAATGAGACACCCTGTGTAATATTAATAAAATTGTACACTCGATAATTTTGTATTAGATGCTGTTCACACTTTGACGTGCGCCATCATGTTGCTCAACACCGACCTGCATGGCCAGAACATCGGCAGGAAGATGACGTGCAATGAATTCATAGAAAACCTAGCCGGTCTCAATGAATGTGAAAACTTCCCCAGAGAGGTCTTGAAACAGCTATACCACGCCATAAAGAATTACCCACTAGAGTGGGCACTGTATGTGTAACTTTAAAATCGATCGCGCAGGCCTTAAAATATATTATTTTTCAGAGACGAAGAGAACGAGGAAGCCAGTGCGCAGCCCCAGATGAGGAACAATGAAGCCGTGAATTTGGGCGGAAACCCATTCCTGGACGTTCCCATCTCTGCCAATGCGGTGGAGTACAAGAAAGGTTACGTCATGAGGAAGTGCTGTTACGAAGCTAATGCCAAAAGAAGTGAGTTTTTGTCTTTGTTAGCATTGTAAGCAGTAAGAGCCTGTCTCACTTGCCGATAAAGATACTTGAACTTTTTTGTTTATAAACATTTTGGTGTGACTCAGACACTTGAAATTTCAAGGCAATTTGTGTGTTCAGAATAATCGTGTACCATTTAATTTATTAAGAATACTTGTAAAGGCAGTCACACCTTTATAGACAGTTTTTCTGTAGATTTTTATATGATTCTTAAATAATTTTACCAAAGAAGGAGAATAACAGTTAATTGAAGTTGTCTAGAAAAAATAACTAAGTAAAACATTGGGAAATTCTAAAAATTTGTTGTTTTTATTTCCAAGAACAATATTTTTAATATAGATGTAAAACGACTTTAAGGATCTTAAAAAAAAGTAACAGTGATTTAGGTCTGTGGAGTATGCTGGCTGTTTCTCATCACAGTTGATTATATTATTGAAATAAGTTGTCCTACCCATTAGCAAAATAGTGAGACAGGTTTTAAGGAAAAAACTAAATAGCTACTCATTTAGAAAAACATTGACTTATTGTTTTTAGTTTCACTGACCAAAACGAAGTAGTTCTTATATTTTGTAAAATTTCGTTATTGTTTTAATGCACCCACATTAAAATTAACATTTTTTTTTCGTTTTCGGGGATATCAATCAATAAAATAATTACAATTTTTTGTAATAATAATTATTAAGTATGTTTCAGTTAAGGGGTTACACCACTGTAATGGCCTAAAAAAAGCGTGTTTTTGACAATTTTTTTTTTAAATAGAAGGAAAGCTAATAGAAAAAAATTGTTTAAGTATGTTATTAGGCATGGAATTGTAAAAATATTGTTTTTTGTAAAATTGGCAAGTGCTTGGAGTAAAACATTAAATTTTTGATGAAAAAATGGGCAGTTATTTGTTTATAACAATTGTTTAAATTAACTTATTGAAAAATCCATGTGTTCTCTTCAAAATGTTTTAAATATGTGGTTAAAATTTCAAAGGAAAATATTGAAAATTGTTGGTTATGGTGTATGCAGTTTTGTAAAAATGCATATTTCGGGAAATAACGCGTTTAAATGAGTTTTAAACATGAACGTGCACTGACGCTACACTAACGTACTTTTATTTGAATATATATTGCTTGAATTGTACACGCGTATTCCCTAACGACATCTATGAGTGTATTAGAGAAGTTATAAATGAATAGGTAAGAAGGTACGCGGTACCTTCCGAGCAAGTATGTTCATAGCGCAGGTAGCCTTATGAGAGATGCCCGACACGCTTCAGGAAAAGCGCAAAATTAAACAAAAAAAAATTGTTTTTAATGTATAAAACCTTTTGCCTCATATTCTAGAAGGTTCACACTACCTTTTAAGCAAAAAAACAAAAAAACAATTTTTTGAAAATTCTAGTGGTGTAAGTAACGATCTTAACAACAATAAGTACAATAAGTAACAGATAAAATATGTTTTATGAATATGAAGAGACACATCTAAAAAACATTTAATGAGCACATTTCGAGACAAATTGAAAACACTTTTGTTTGTTATTTCTTTTTTAGATGCTTCTGTTGTTATCAATAGAACTTTAAAATATTTTATCTAAATATTGCATAATCAAGATGTACTTAATAGGTATTACAAAAAACTGTAACTATTTTATTGTCCGATATCTCAAGGAAGGCATAAAAATTATGTTGGTTTGTAACCGTCAGGAAATTTGACAAAATAAAATTAAAATTAACGCACCACCAAAAATGGGCCCAATTTCAAAATTCAGTTTCTCACTAACAGATAATCTGATTTTGACAGGTTTTTTTCCATAACAAGTTTATTTTTCAGTAATGGTAAATTTTTATTGAAATTACTATTTTCAACATGTTTCCCCAACTTGAAACACCGTACCTATAAGGTGTTTAATGGGATGTTGAACAAGTTCTCGCAGTTTTTCGTGAAAATTAATGCTTTATTTAAAAAAATGAGTAAAAAAAATGTCGCTGGAATTATTGTCCATTACTTTTTCCCATGGGGCAATGTCTGCTGAATATGGCGGGTGCGGTAGGACTATTTAAGTGTTTCCAAATAGGTTTTCATCTGTACTGCAACATGTGGATGCGCATTGTCATGCTGCAAAATCACTTGGTCGTTTCTCTGCGGAACAATTTTTCCTTCTCAGTTCAAAGACATCAATTGTAGTCGATAGCGATCTCCCACGATGATTTCATTCGGTTTTAGCAGCTCATAATAAACTACATCCAGCTAATCCTACCAAATGCAGAGCAGAAATTACGATATGATGCAAAAAAGTTTTCCTTTTCTGACGTTGAAGCAGCTGTTCACACTTACATCTCCCGGCTTTGTACGACATACAATGTCCTTGCTTTTGAATAATTCTTAATCCTTTCAAACATTTCAAAATTGTTGTGGGATCAACACTTAATGATTTTGCAAATTCAGCTAGCGTCCAACATGAGTCTTCATGAACTAATGTCCCCAATTTTTCATCTTCAAACTGTTTCGGTGCGCCAGAGCGTTCTTTATCTTCAACAGAACATGGTCGCTGTAAGTCTGTATGTTGTATGCTTCAGCTGCTGATTTCTTTTGAATAAAGTGCGGTGAAATTCCCCGCATCTCTTTTTTGACACGAAATTCGACTTGTTTAATACATATTATGAAAAAAAAGTCAACAATAAAATAACATACATCAACTTTCACACTTGCTTATAGTCTTTCTTTATAGGTTTGTTACCATCTTGCAGTTCTGGTAAGGCCAATATGTTGAAAAACAGCGAGAACTTATTTAACATCCCTTTATAATGGTGATTTTGAGTATTGATTAAAGGGGGTTTTAATGTTTTTTTATGCATAATTCGGTCATAAGTTACATACACTACACCTTCAATTTTATTCCGATTCATTATTATTACTTGTTATTAAAACTAAGGATTGATATTGACATTATAGGATTGGCAACTAATATTATCCATTTTAAAGGTTTGTAGAATTTTCTACTATCTCTAACAAATAATCCAGAATTTTTTATAGTAATAAAAGATACTTAAGGAATAATGGTATGTTTTTACTGGTTTACATATTTTTGTTGAGAGAGTAAACAAACTATTGCAGAGTCAACCGCACATTAACAATAAATTCCATGAAATAAAATTCATAATCTCTGGTTTTAAAGAATATTTTTCTATTTTAGAGTTAGAAATATTTAAAAAAATATATTTCTTGAAAATTATTTTAGGCAGTTTTACTGTCTGAAAAATAATTAAAGAAGTTAATGATTGATTAATTATTTATTATAAAATATGGCGTGTAACCACATGTAAAAGTAAAAAAATGTTTTGTTGCCCATATGAAATATCTTATTTAAACATTTACTAATGACGGATAAGATTAAAAAAAATACTTTCTCAACAAATGTAACATTTTTTGTGCACAATACATGAATAAAATGGCATTTAACATGAAAAAATTAAGCCTCCTCAAACTAGATGCATGTAATTATGAGGTATGTTGGCTGTATTTTCATCAAACATCATTTCATGCTACTGGAAAAAATATTTTATTTCATTTTTGAACAAATTTTATAGTATGCACAAATGATCTCTTCATCCAAATTTAACAATACTTTGTCATATAAAAAATTGCCATTGGAGATGCAGCTTGTTAAAGTTTAAAAGAAGATGTATCTGCATATTCATTAGAATACATAAATCTTTACGAGAGTAAGAGGATATACATGATGATTCATAAATTGTGACCAAAAAAGAAACCTCGAATTCTTTGGTGAATTTTAAGGGGTCTTTCCTGTAAAGTTTTTATCTTTTCCTTAAACTACAAAAAATATTTTTAATTTTTTTAAATAATTTAACCGTAAAGCAGTGGTGTACTATTTTATTTAGACAAATATGCCACCGATACCCTCAGATTTTGGACAATGTTTACATAAATACATCTGTCCAGTTTCAAATTATTTCACTTACTAGTTTTTGAATTATTTAAAAAAATTAAAAATATTTTTTTAAATTTAACACCCTGTATCTTTTTAACAAAGCATCCTAGATAAAAACTTCATAGGAAAGACCCCTTAAAATTCACCAAAGGATGTTAAATTTTTGGTCACAATTTATGAATCACCCTCTATAAGAAGTCATATCGAAAAATGTGACGCCCTTTTAGTTTTGGTACGCTGTTACAGTACACCCTTAAGAGTCTTGTGATATCTTGAAAACTACCATTAGAGTTATGAATTTTATTTAAAATTGGTGATTAAGTTCAAAAAATGTATCTGCATAAGTTGTTTACTCTTCATTTATGTCGCTTCCGTTCGCAGTGTTAATAATTGCAAATTTTAATTTCAGTATTACAAATTTCTTCAAACTACCTTTCAATTTATCCTATTTTCTCAGATTAATTAATTTCCTTTGATTTATAAAAAATATTTCACATATAACACTCTAATGGGCAAATGGACTGTGTCTTCAATGAAACTATCATTCATTTTATTATTTTACTGTTGCACTAAACACCCTTCAGATTTTTCGGAGAAGACGGCAGTGCTGTTGTCCATTAACAACTATGTAGGTTAGAATTAAGCCTGCAAAGCATGTTGCAATACAAAATAGCTGTTTCGAAGGCCTTTGCTGCATTTTTCTAGCACCGTTTCACAAGCGTAGTTGGAAGATGTTCTATTGCACGCTGCGGGATCTCGTATTGTACCTACACAAGGACGAGAATGGCTTCAGGAAGAACCAGATGGGCGACAACCTGCATAACGCCATCCGGATACATCACGCTCTCGCCACCAAGGCATCGGACTACACGAAGAAGCAGTACGTGTTCAGGCTACAGACGGCAGACCAAGCCGAATATCTATTTCAAACTAGGTAAGTTTTGTGTTAAAACATTTACGTTTTTATTTTTTTGCACGTTTCGTTGTAGTGATTCGAAGGAACTGCAGTCCTGGATAGACACGATAAATTTCGTGTGCGCCAGCTTTTCGGCCCCGCCTTTGGAGGCAGCCGTCGGATCTCAGAAGAAGTTCCAAAGGCCGCTCTTGCCATGCAGCCATACAAAGTTGAATTTGGTGAGGAATTTACGTAAAATGGAAGGTTTCGGTGGATGCTAATTCGTTATATTTTTAGAGAGAACAGCTGGCAGATCACGAGGAGAGAGTAATGAGACTGGAAGCTATGTTGGACGAGCATCGAAGGTCGCCCCCTGAAAAAGGTTCTAAATCGCAGGTTGTACAGAATTACAAGGAAAAAGAAGCTTATTTAAATTATGAGGTAAGATGTTACAGAAAATACACAGTCTTCCCGATAAAGTATGCATCATGCAACTGATGCGTGTCAGTGAGTGTCATAAGCGTACAAGTAGGAAATATATTATTTTCACATTTTAATTATCCCATGAAGTGTTGTATGATGCTTACTTTATTGCTGATATAATATTTCTCACGGTCATCATAATATATTTCTTGTAGCTAAAGCGTTACAGAACATACTCGTACATGTTGCGTTCGAAGATGTCGCAGTACCCAGAGCTGGGTATAAGCTTGGCGGAGAACAGCATAGGTGAAGTTGACGAGGCCAGCGGCGGGGTGACGCTGATGGACGGCGCCGTAGGAATTGTGCCCCCTCCCATACCGGACAGGCCGTCGCCCACAGTCAATAGGTACAGTTACAGACAAGCCATTTATGGCCGTAATAATATGCTCAACGGTGATGCTGATATAGGCTGACGCGTCATGGAGGTGTTTTCCGCATGTGTGCTTTGATTTGTGAGAGCCTTTCACTTGTTTTTTTTTGTTTTTTATTGGTTCCTTTTTTGTGGTGGGCATTTTAATAACCGGTCCTGGGGTCAGTGCTGCCGGACTGCTTATTGAAAAGAGAGTTGTAAATAGTTGAAGAAGTATATTAAAAATAATTTCCTCGGATATGATTCGTTAATTTGGAAATGCTTCAAGATTATAAAAAGAGAAATTTCTTTATGATTAAAAAAGGTGGTACAATCTTATTCTTTATAAAATTCTGTATGCCATGTAGATTAATTTTTATACAGGTGTAAACTTCTTTATATACAGGGTGTTCTGATTTATAGGTGTTTGTCACATACCATTAATGCAATAAGTAAAAAACAAATGTTTAAATATATTTTGTCGGATATATTCTAATAACGCTATACATATTTAAAAAGTACAACTACTTAAAAATCATTGGATTTTGCTTTTTGAGTCAGTAAACTTCGGAACTTCAAAGGTGAAATGTCGCTCGTCGTAATGAAGATTTTTTACTTTACTTAATTTCGATATAGTCGGTTAGCTTCGAACCTTTGACGAGGAAGTATCGCGCATTGTAACAGAACATTTTCAAGTTTAATTTGCTTCAGTGTTAAATCAATGTTTTTTGTATCTCAACGGTGAAGCATCGCATGTTGCAAAGATATTGCCTTTACATTATTTCAGGAGCGCCAGATGTTGAGTCACGTCTCCAACAAATTGGTCACCAAAAGAGTTAGAAAGCAGTCCCAAAGTCTTATTGTAAAAAAAATTTTTTAGCATTCTGCAGTTTTTATTGTGGAGACGAATAAAAAGAATTTGCAGTGTAATTTTTAGTACACTTAAATATCGTATGCGCAACATGGGAAATACAGCAGAGATAAGGAGAATTGAAATCGCGTTATTTAGCAAACCGACTGGAAGCGAATCTGGACAGTTGTCAACGTCAGTCGTCTGATGTGTATTTCCTGACTGTGGGCATAGTTAAGCAATTTCGTGGTATAATAATAATAAATAAAAAAAGGGTCAAGTCCGAAGGTGTAGGATGTATTAGAATCCAGAGCGTTTGCTGGAGAGTCGTCGTGGTGTGGAGTCGCTCGCATGTATATGTACCTCGTCGCTCGCGCCAATCTGCCGTGGACCTTTTCTGGAACCCTGGGGCGTCCCGCGGTCTGTTCTTTGTCCTGTTAGACTGGTCTGGGTGTCATCAGGCTGGCCCTCTTAACGTAATATTAAAACGGGTCATTTGCGGACATGTGTATTGGAAAACTTTTAGTTTCTAATTATGCTATTTATTAGCCTACTTAATCTTTACGTTTGTTGTGTTAATGGTCTGTATATCCATAAACCGGAACATACTGTACATAGTTTTGAAAATACACTGGATAAATTGTAGCGAAGAAGTTTTTGAGGCAAACTGAAAATTGTTTTAGAGCAGTCCTGGCAAACTGATTCTGGGATTTATTAAAAAAATATTGATGTACACAAATTATACGAAGAAGTAAACTTTATAGTCGAGTAAAAAAATTTAAGAATATAATATTGGATATATAGTTTGCCTTGTCAGTTTTAAAAGTAACTACTATTTGTAACGTTTTTTAAATTAATTAAAATCAATTCATTTCAATTAGGTTTTTTTTACAAAAATATTGTTTTTTTAAACTCCCTGATTTTGATTGTTGAACTTATTATATTTTATGATATTGGTGCTTTTAAAATTGGCAATACTGATATTTCCACTTTCATTTCTAACGGCTCAATTATTATTTAACTACAATCGTGTGTTAACAACGAAAATATGCTTTTTTCACATTTAATCTTAATTTAATCACATTATAATTTGCTTCAAGGTGTATTAACAACTTTTCCTTTCTTACTAGTTTTCAGTCTTGGGAATAGAATTATGAAACATTTACATTTTTTTCTCTCTTTGTGTACACCAATGACGAAACCGTTTGCTTTTATGTTTTCTTATTTTCCAATTACAGACTAATTCCTTTCTGGTTGCGTTTTGTGGTGTGACTGCGTCTAGATTTCTTATCAGCAATTTTTATCATTTAAATTGCTCTCAATTTGACAAATAAGCCCATGCCTTAAAAGTGTCTATTATTCCCGACAGGTAGTTTGTAGGATTAAAGTAAAAAAATTATACATTGTTACTTAGGTACTTTCGACCAGTTATCAATAATTCATTGTTGAATATTTGTCAAATTTTGAAATTTTCATAAAAATTACTCGTAAGAAAAGTATAACCTGTAAGTAAGTGTTGGGCTTATTGTGTTTCGTGAGTTACAGTATACATACCTACCTTTATCTTCCAGGGATTTTGTACAGTTATTTATTTTTTTATTAGTGTACATTCAGTATTTTTATACTATTGGTTGATGTGGTAGAGAAGCATAACCTATTTTTTGTACAAAAAAGGAAAATCAAATAATTCTCCCTAAAGTAGCGTCCCTAAAACAAGAATATCATCACATCGGCTATTTTGCAATTGCGTTATTTTTTCTACATGCATTCTATAACAAAAAAATTCTATATTTTTCTGTTTTGTTTCGGTAACATCGAATGAATTATAATGTAAATGTGAAACTTAAAAACGAAGTATTATTCAAATTAAATAATAAATTTACATTTTAAAGAAAATAGGTTGTGTTTCGGTGGTTGTAAAATTTGTGTCTTTTCGTTTACTGTAATGGTGTTGGTACCTTACATATTAGACTTGATTTGTATTGAAGCCACCTCTGTATAATTTAAAAGGTCCTGTGTAGCAAGTTTCTTCAAAAATAACAATAGAAAATCAAAATATTACATTAGCGTAAACATTAGCAGAATATTTATATAACTGATGTACTATAATTATTAATTACGGAAAGTAATAGTTCATTTGATTTTTTTTAAACATCTGTTTATTTTCCTTTGAGTAGTTATATTAAAAAGGTATTCCTAACATCACGGCCTATTTAAACGCTGCTGATATGACAAAAAAACCTGATCAACTGTTCGAAACTTAATTTGTGGCATGTTCGGTTTTCTCTATTTTTTTGGATTTTTGCCTCGTGTGAAATCAATCCATTGACTCAACTAAATTAACTGCTTAAAGTAATAACTGAATTTTTCAAATTTAAAATAAAGAAAAGAATGTGAATAGTAAAATTTTAAATAGAACTGACTCATTACTAGAGTTCGACATTTGCATAAGAAATCAGTGGTATCACCAAGAAATTTAGACATGTAATTTAACTGTTGAGTATACAGGGTGTAGCTTTGAATGGAGGTCATATTTATACGGAGGCTACCTCTGACTTTCAAAAACATATCATACATGGTATTCCGTCTTGAAAACTGATTTTTTTTTAACAATTTTATCATAATAAAACAACACTGCACTGTACAAATTATATTTCGATTTCAGTACAAATTAAGAAATCAGACGGCAATTTGTGAAATTACCTACCACATTACACCCCCCTTCACGTATACCGATAGACCCAAAACTAAAGTAAATGTAATAAAATTGGACGTGACATTTGTTTGAGAAATTTGTTTTTTTTGCCTACTAATGCCCTGTTATATCACATCAAATGGATTGATATTATGCAGTTCACCTAAATTAGATCAATGTCCGAGATAATGACATTCACAAGCTAAACTGCTTAAAAACTTGTAATTTGCCCCTTTTGAACAAGCGGCATCGTAAATTACAAATTTCTTTACACCAAAAAGTAATTTGAGTTTCAAACTAAGTCCATTTTATAGAAAATCTGCGTTAAAATGGGGGAAAGTCTGTTATTTGTGCATTAACTCATATTTAGACAAACTGTAATAAAATCTATAAAAATATATTGCTGGTTGCCTATTTGCTATAGAGCACTCTTAATTTCATTTGTTAAAAGTTAAAACAGGAAATTTCAAATTAAAGCATATTAAATTGTCTTTCAAATAGACTAATGCCAAACATTAAAGGGTGAAAAAAATTTCCGAAATTTTTCCGTGATTTCTGACAGGCTGTATTTAGGTGAAAAATGGTTGTATCGAGAATTAAAAAAATAAAAAACAAGCATTTTGAAGCTCTAAGATTCTAGTTTTTAGATCTTTTGTTCGAAATTTTATCAATTATCATGCAATTCTAAGAAATAGTGGGAAAAAAAAAAATTTTGCGAATTTTTGTTTTTTTATTTTTTGACTCCACGGACTTGGAAATTTTTTTTTCAGTTAAACCATTGCATGGACTAGATAGCTTGTTTATTCAGCTTCAATTTCCTTTTTCTTAAATTTCGATACGTCCAGTTTTCATCGAAATATCGGACTTTTAATGGAAAAGAATCCTTTTGTTTTCAATCATCGATATCTCTGCGACAAATGGTTGTACAGAGAATTGAAGGGCAGTTTCGAAAACTGGAATAAATTTCCTATAACATGCTGCCACAACTTTTCGGAAAAAAATTTTTTTTTCATACACGAATTTTAAAAAAAAGGAGAAAATGGGTAATTTATGGCTTTGATTTTTTTCAAAAGTTTGACTGTTTGAAAGAAGAAACAGTTCGCTAGATCGAGATGAAACTTCACAGGGTTCTTCTGGGTATATCGAACTGTAAAAGTCATGTTTAACATTTATTAGTCATTTCGTGAATATTTCTAATTTAGCCATCAATTTTCTAAAAAACCATAAATTACTCTTTTTTTTCAGTTTTTTAAAATTCGTGTAAAAGATGAAAAGTTGCGGCAGCATGTTACAGGAAATTTATTCCAGTTTTCGAAACTGCCCTTCAATTCTGTGTACCACCATTTGTCGCCGAGATATCGATGATTGAAGACAAAAGGATCCTTTTCCATTAAAACTCCAATATTTCGATAAAGAATGGTTGTATCGAAATTTAAAATAAAAGGAAATTGAAGCTGAATAAACAAGCTATCTAATCCATGCAATGGCTTAGCTGAAAAAAATTGTTCCAATTGTGTGGTCTCAGAAAATAAAATAAAAAAAATTGCAAAATTTTTTTGTCACGCTATTTCTTAGAATTGCATGATAACCGTAGCTCTTAAAAAATTTCCACCGAAAGATCTAAAAACTAGAATCTTAGACCTTAAAACTGCTTTTCTTTAATTCCAGATACGACCATTTTTCACCTAAATACAGTCTGTTAAAAATTTCGGAAATTCTTTTGACCCTTTAATTTTTTTGCATTAGTTTATTTCTTTTTTAATCTGATGAATAATTAAAAAAATATATATAATTAAAGTCATATGATAACATAATCTACACCTTTAAGATAATGGCCATTTTGGTATATATTTCTGCCAAAATAATTGAAAAATGCACTGAACATAAAAATTAAGTCGTAAAAAATACCCAGTATGGCAGCTATAACAGTTAATTTTGTTTATGCCTTTGACTTTAATTAAGTCATATAAAAAATACCCAGTATGGCAGCTATAACAGTCAATTTCGTTTATGCCTTTGACTTTTATGTCTCTTTTCTAGGAACTTTGGAGCAACAAAATTTTTTCACTAACATGACATTCTATTACTGTTCCATCACAGTGTAAATCAGAAAAGTGTTTATAAATATGTTAATTTGGTAGACATAACTCAAGTCATTTTTACATATCTTCAAATATAACAATCCGTATTTATGCGTAAAATATACTAAACTTAACAAATTATTTACACACCAAAATGTGTTACGAACTCCGTTTGTATGTAGGTTTTGTTTTATAATAGTTCAAATCGTCGTCAGTACCAATTTCATTCAGTAATACTGTGAATACCTTCTTAATATAAGTGTAGTCCCCCAATATCATGCTAAAAAATGCTTTCAAAATGATTTGGTGTTACGTTCTGTATAGAGAGCTGTATTGAAATTGTTACCTTCTCCCCTTTAGTATTAGTTCAAATATTAATACATTTTAAATTATTACAATGATATCAAATGAATTGCAGAGGTAAAATTCAATGAACATTTTGACCTCACATAGTTTAGGGGCTGTGAATAACGAAAAAAAAAATGAATTGATATTTATTAAGAGTGTTTGTCCTTTAGTGTCCTTGTATAGAGGAAAACTATTGTATACCTATTTATGTTATTACAAGAAATGTTAAAACAGTTTTTTGGATCAGAACTATATAGCTGATTGAAATATGATCTCTATAATAAACGATTATTTAAATTAATTTCGTTTCTAGGTGTAGTTTTACTGTTGTGCACATTACTTACTATCCTGATCAACATTCTCTCTTCCCAAGGTTCGTTTTTTAAGTATTAATGCCTATTTCCCTGTACCCGACTAATCACACACAAACCCATTATTTTAAAAAATATCAAGACGAAGTCATTTCAGTAATAAAAATCTACTGAAAATAAAAAATTCTTTTGCTTTTTTGTTTTTTTTTAACTTTTTTTTTTTGTGATTTTTATGACATATTGAAATGACTGCTTCTCACTTCTCATATTAAACATATAAGATCAGATCAATTTTGAAACATGCTTTACAGCTTTTTTTTTATTGCGATTCAAAGCTAAAACTGATGCCACGAAGCTAGTATGTATTCTAGTGAATTGCATGTCTAAACCTAATTTGTACATTGCATGATTTAGAGTAATTGCATCTGCCCCTATCATTTATTTTCTTTTTTTTGTACAGAGTGTTTTATGGGTGTTGAACTGAATAAATTTTAACTTTAATTACGTATACGTCACATTTTCAGAAATTATTGGAGAATAATAGCAATTAAATATTATAGATAAAAGGGAATTTCTACATTTTTATTTATAATTTTTTTATGTATTTTCTTATAATTCTGAATGGCAATCCTTAAGAAATTAAGTTTCATGCAATTTCTTGATATAGATGTAAAGGTAGAAAACTATTTTCTGACTTTTCGGTTGGTTTCATTAGAATATTTTCAAAACATAAATAAGTTTTCTCAAAATGTTTTGAAATTTTTAGTATACGTATAATAAATAGTCAGAAAAAAGTATTGGCAGAAATTCCAGTAGGTCAATTGATTTAGAGATTAACATTTAACAACCTATAAGAATTTCTGTTTATAAATATTATTATTAATAGTGCATAAAATCATCTCGAACAATGTGATCATAAACATACTTTATTTGTTCATCACTTTAAAATTCCAGAATTCAGATTATTTGCCTTAATATTAAAAATTTTATCCATTTTTATTTATAAAATTTATTATTTTTGGGAATTTTAATTTATTTTTTTGAAATAATTATTTAATAAGCATCAGAGATTACTAAAAATTTGTACACTCTGTAAATAGGTTTGATTAAGTAATTGATCTGTATTGTTTTAAGTTTACTAATTTTTTTTTTGTTACTTGCATGTGTAGGAAAGGTCCACAGTGAAATTTGGAATCGGCCGAAAAATCAAATGTTTTACTCCCCTAACAAATGCCACTTGTGCAATAGAAGACTCATTGGAATTTTAAAAAACTTTAAAATTTACTTAGAAGATAAGAAAATGAAGCATAGCATGGTTATCAAAAATATTATAAGTAACTTATAATTTGCCAAAGAAATTTATTGTACATTTTATTAAAATTATGATTAAAAACGATGGTATTGTGTCATTAGCGTATATGCTTTTTTTCCACATAATAGAGCTTTTTGCTGATTTTATATATTTTCATGTATATATTGTAGCTTATCTGTAAATTTTTATTTTAAATACACTATTCTTATTTATAATCTTTTATTTTTTTTTAAACAAATCTGTTGGTAAGTAACGGTAAGTAAAGGTAAGTAAATTTTTATTAACGAGGAGTTAGTAGCTGAATAGAAGCTGTGAAATATATATGGGTTGTTCCACGTCACATTTACCGTCCCTCTTTCCAAGTTACAATATTTCAAACTGAACCGCAAATCAAAATCTAAGTGGAAAAAATAAAATAAAAAGACGTTATATCTAAAGAAAATATTTTGACCCCCCCCCTTTCCTCGGCATTGATATTTTAAACCAAAATTACACAGAAAGTGTACCATACCTAAAATACAAATATGTTCCAAATTTGAAATAAATATCTCTAAAATCCCTATCAATAATAATCATTTTTAAAAATCTTATTTTGACATCCTCTATTTTAAAAACGAAGCTCCGAAATGAAAAGTGTCATAAGAAGAGTCCCATTATTTTAGTCTAAAGAAGATATGATTAATGGCTTGACCTACTAATTTGTAACACCCTATAGTTCACTGGAATTTTTTCAGGATTTTCTCAGTTCTAAAACTTTTTGAGAAACTCGATGGACTATTCCATGCAAATTTTCAAAAAATTAAGGTGTTTTTCCAAAGGCGATTCCATGTGCATCTGGAGTCGCTAAACATGCTGTATTCGTCGGTTTTTGTGCAAATGCTTCCGTTGAGAAAAAAAAATCGAAAATCTCTAAAACTGATGCAAGTAGAGAGCAACTGAATGCAGTTTTGGATTGGTCAGGACCATTATAAAATATATTTTTGTTGCAAACAAGATAGAATAGATTTTTATTTTCACTGTTTCTTGAGTAAGTCCCCAAAAACCTTCGAGCATATACTACTGGAGGTAGCATGCCACTGCAAAGAGTGTCTGGGTGCGCGAGAAACAGACAGTATCTCAATACATATTGTCTAACTCTAACACGCACATGTGTGGTTAGAAATGAATGCCCGCGCCCATTGGCTCCCGCAGGGCTCCCGTCATTGAGAAGGCATAACTGAGATACTGTCTATCTCTCTCTCGCAACACTCAGCCACACTTTTCGCAGTGGCATGCTACCTCTAATAGTATATACTCGAAGCCAAAAACACGTTATTGTTATTATACAGTTACGACTCTTGCACACGGGGCGATATTTTGCTGATCAGCGTAATAACCGACAAAATTTTAATTTACACATAGTTAAATACATCTTTATTTTAAGTTTGACGGTCGGCTGCCGAATCGGTAAAATAACGGTCGTGTCGTGTGTAAGAGCCATTACAGTTGGCCAAGCCGAGATTGGCCGAGATGATAAATCTCAGAGCAACTCTAAATTGAATGGAATGTCCCTATTATTCTAAATACTACTATATTTTTAATTAATGTATAAACTATAAATAAAATTGGAAATTATACGATCATACGAATATTATGCACAATTCTTGATAATATTTGATTTGTTTGTGAATCTCTGTCGATTCTGTGATCTTTTTGAGTGGCCTATATATTTACAATTGTAGAGCGTTCTATATAGTGGTACAAAATTGCGCCGGGTGCCGAGTCCTAAATTTTTTATGCATATTGCGTAGTCTAAACAAAAAAAAAACAATATAAAAACACTATTACCATAATGCGTATAAAATATAAAATGATTTTTATACGGTTCAATATTATTTATCTTTGTGCCGCTCACTTACGCACATCGATAGAATCTATAATCGTCTAGAGACCGAGTTACACTGAACGTCGATCTATATTCTATCTCTGTCTTTTGCACTTGATAGGGAATAGGGAAATGCTTTTTTAGTGGGTGTAAACGGACTTGATTTAACTCGTCCTGAGAAACGTCATGGCATAAGCGTAGACGAGGGGTCTAATTCCATGGCTATAATAAATTTATAAATTAAAAAAACACAATTGGGACGTTTTAAAATGCTGTAATAATTAAAATGGACCAAAGTGCCTGTTATAGCAAACCGTAGATGTTATGTTTTATTATCTTTTTTCATTATTTTCTATATCTTGTTGCCTTTTACGCAGACATGCCAATGGAGTTTCGTTCCCGACAAGCTTCATCCCCCTTACTAGTCCAAAAGCTAGCGATGAATCACTCTCTATAATTTCGACCGTGGAGTGTACAGTCTAAAGTGTAACCCTGACATCAAAGGAAAGTAACCGATGTAAAAAGACAAAACCTTGAAGAAGAAGACGAACATTGAATTCGTTTTGTTTTTATTTTTATTTTGAATTTCTAACCTCAGTTTAATTGTCATACATAGTATATTATTTATAATGTTTATCGTATTTAACTATTTAATTATTTTGTGAAGCATAACTGTGATATACATACGCGTTAAATTTTATAATGAATGATGATTTGCTTATGAATGATACGTTAGATAATTTTGCTTTTACACAAACGGAAGCCCTTTTTAGAGAACAAACATTTCTGAGAACTAGAAAAGAAAATAAGTCTGTAAATCAAAATGAAAATTTACAGAAGAGCCCTATATCTGAGCTACAAGAACTACAAGATGTGTTAGGAACAAATATCTCTTTCGATGATTCTGTATTTCTTACTGAGTCTCAAACCCTTGAGTCAAAGAACAATAAAAAAAATGAGGAAGAAAAAGCAGAACATATTTTAAAGGATAATAAACATATTTTGAATAAAGTACACAATGATGAAACAAAAAAATTCCAAGAATCCATACTACCTAAATGTTTAATGTTATCTACAACAAAACATGAGAATAAACATCCTCATAGTTATGAACATTGCCAAAATAGTGAGAATGTTCAAAATATAGATCCATTTAGAAATAAATGTAAAAATATAACTTTGAAAAAGTTTTGTCAAGATACCATTAAATCGAAAAGTGATGTAGAATTGGTTAATATTAATCAACAGTCTAGTAAAAATAACATTATAAAAGTTGAAAACAAATTTTTAACTGCACAAAATAGAGAAAGTGAACTGAATAATACTATCCCCAATAGTTTGCACGTTAATCATAGAGAATCTCAAGTTTTTAATTCCGATCAATGTAAATTGTCTTCTTGGGGCCTACCAGAAGCCGTCCTTGAAAAGTACAAATCAAAGAAGGTAACAGAAATGTTTCCATGGCAAGTGGAGTGTCTGAGCAATATAAGTGTCTTAAATGATCGTGCAAATTTGGTTTATTCTGCACCTACTTCGGCAGGGAAAACATTAATAGCTGAAATATTGGCTATAAAAACAGTTTTGGAATATCAAAAAAAGGTAATTTTTATTTTGCCATTTGTTTCCATAGTTAGAGAAAAAATGTACTACTTTCAAGATATATTAGGAACTAGTGGAGTGAGAGTAGAAGGTTTCATGGGGTCATATAACCCTCCGGGTGGTTTTAACTCTGTGCAAATTGCAATTTGTACAATCGAAAAAGCAAATAGTTTAATAAACAGACTGTTAGAAGAAGGTAATTTATCTTGTATCGGGGCTATACTTGTTGATGAGGTTCATTTATTGGGAGACCCAAGTCGAGGATATTTATTAGAATTACTTTTGACTAAGCTTAGATACATTTCGAGAAAAGATAAAAGTATTAATATTCAAATCATTGGTATGTCCGCTACACTCCCAAATTTAAACCATCTCTCTAAGTGGCTAGACGCTGAACTTTACACTACAAATTTTCGTCCGATACCTCTGCATGAACAAGCACATGTGTGTGGCGAAATATATGACAACAAATTAAAGCTAGTACGAAAACTGTCACCTTTACCCGAATTGGGTACAGATACTGATAATATATTACAGCTGTGCTTAGAAACAATCAGAGATTCCTGCTCAGTTCTCATATTTTGTCCAACTAAAAACTGGTGTGAGAACTTGTCACAGCAAATTGCTACAGCTTTCTTCAAAATCGGAAGTTCCAAATCTAAATGGGGAGACCTTCTGCATTCACAGTTAAACACAAATTTAATTATAGAACTCTTGGAACAGCTCAAGTACTGCCCTGTGGGTTTAGATGCAATTCTTCGGAAAACTGTGTCTTTCGGAGTAGCCTTCCATCATGCTGGATTGACTATGGATGAAAGAGATATTATAGAAAGTGCTTTTAGAAATGGAGTCCTAAGGGTACTAGTTGCGACATCAACTTTATCTTCTGGTGTTAACCTGCCTGCTCGTAGAGTTATAATTAGAACCCCTAATTTCCATGGGAAACCTTTGGATACCCTCACTTACCGTCAAATGATTGGCAGGGCAGGGAGGATGGGTAAAGACTCTGTAGGTGAAAGCTTACTTATCTGTCAGAAAAACGACTATAAAATTGCGAAGGAGTTAATGTCGGCTCATTTAAAGCCAGTCGAGAGTTGTCTTGAAGGAGCAGGCAAACTTAAAAGAGCTATTTTAGAAGTAATTGCAAGTGGAGTTGCATCTTCTCCAGAAGATGTCGCTTTGTTCACTCAGTGCACTTTACTGGCAGTAGAAGATGAAGATTCAGAAGACTTAAGTAATCCTATAGAAGAAGCTGTTTCATTTTTGAGGAAGTATGAATTCATTCGACTGCAGAAGCAAGAAGATGGAAAGGAGAAATATGTAGCGACATCTTTAGGTAAGGAAACCATTAGCAATAAGTCCTTAAGCAAATTGAACTGGAAAATAAGCCCAATTAATGCATTTATTGCTATTGTATTCTCTTTCAAATATATATTTTATATAATATGTTATCCATTCCAGTTTTTTCATTCTTAATTAAAGTAAAAAAAAATTGATGTCAACTTTTGGCCCCTATAATAATTATAAATTACAAATGAAGATATAAAATGCGCAAGTTCTTCTAGGCAAAGCATGTTTGTCTTCGTCCATGGCACCAGATGAGGGTCTAGCATTATTTACGGAATTAGAAAAGGCACGTCAGTGTTTTGTATTAGAAACCGAGCTACATTTGATATATCTCGTAACTCCATACAGCGCCTGCAACTCATGGGGAAACATTGACTGGATGTTTTACTTAGAATTATGGGAAAGATTGCCAAGAACGATGAAAAAAGTAGGGGAATTAGTGGGGGTCCAAGAATCGTACATTGTAAATGCTACTAGAGGAAAAACGCAGACAAATACTAACAAACTCTTTCACAAGTTGATGGTACATAAGAGATTTTTTATAGCTTTGGCTTTGCAAGACTTAGTAAATGAAAAACCATTGAGTGAAGTGTGTGCTAAATATAATTGTAACAGAGGCATGCTTCAATCTCTTCAACAGTCCGCTTCATCTTTTGCTGGAATGGTAACGTCTTTCAGCCGTCAACTAGGATGGAGCAGTGTGGAAATATTAATATCGCAATTCCAAGATCGTCTGCAATTTGGCGTAAGTCGAGATTTGTTGGATTTGATGCGATTACCCGTTCTCAACGGCAAAATGGCCAGGATTCTGTACAACGCCGGTATGGAAACTGTTATACAAGTTGCAAATTCTGACCCTGCAACTATTGAGAATATTCTCCATAAAGTGGTTCCTTTCCAAACTGAAAAAGGACGTGACGGGGAATCAGAATTCGACAAAAAACAGAGGAATAAGTTCAGAAATGTCTGGATCACTGGCAAGGAGGGATTAACTGAAATGGAAGCAGCTGAATTGTTAGTTTCAAGTGCTAGGCAATACCTTAAACTAGAAATAGGTTTAGCTGAAGCAAAATGGGGAAAAAGAGTAGATGAAAATGATTCAAGGTGTTCAGAAGAAAGTGAAGAAAACAGTAGTGATAAAGATATATTGCTTCAAGAAGTGAGTTTTTATTTTAAAGGAATAATTCTTTGAATAATGCTTAATTATTTTTAGTTAGTTCCAATGAATTCAGGAGAAAACAGTGTACCTATTAATGAAGATAAAACGCCCATTTCTCAGTTACTTTCAAAAGAAAATAGCTTATTGCCGAGTAGCTTGAACAGTGCTGAATTATGTATCAAAAATAATAACTCTGAAACCTCTTTGGCAGACATATACAATGTCTCAAGTGATATATCTGAAAAAAGTGTCACTAAAATTGAAGATGACGAAAATACTGAGGAAAGAAAATTTGGTACAAAGACAACTGGTACTACTTCTTCATGTGACTCAACAAAAAAAACTTATGGAGATGCAGGAACTGATAAAAAAGAAGAAAGCTGGTGTACTGCTAGCTTTTTAGATATAAATTTGACCAAGATTGAAGAAAACCTTATAGAGAGCAAACAGTCAACTGCAACAGCACTTTCTAATCATAATTCTTTCAAAGTTCCACAACAAAGTTCTTCAAAAAATGAAGTTTCTCACTTACTGATGTCTCCTCCTGTTGAATTGAATATATCGGATTCTTCTGTTATCAGTTCACGAAGCAACCATAATGTTTCTAATCAATGCCAGTCAGACCAGAGCCTTTTTAATGACAGTTTTAACTTACAATTAAGTGAAAGCGATAAAGAATCATCGAAAGACAGTGGAGTGAAAGAATTAAATAACCATAACATTAGTAATTTATCCGACACTGGTGATTATCTCGATAATGCTTTTTCGGTTTCTTTCAATACTAATCCATCCAATGTTTCAAACATATCAGATGACATTCTTACGTGTTCTATAGAAGAAGAGACACCAGTGTCTTTAAGAAAAAGAAAAAATGGCGGTGTTGACCAATGTTTCACAACTCCTTCTAAGAAGAAAAAGATTTCGAAGTCAAAAATTGGAAAACCGCCACCACCGAAAGAAAAACATGAGAGCTTGTCTCAGGAACAACTAAATTCCTCTTACATTAGGAATAAATTAACAGAAGATTCTGCAGCAGATTTCAGTAAATTTGATATCATTAACGTCTGCGCCCATGAGTCGTTGTTGGAGTTATTCGCCAAAGAACTGAAACAGAAAGAGCGTTTCTCTCTTTCTCTAGCCTGCAGCAAAGTAGCAGAAAAACGACCCGTTATAGGGATGAACATTGTCAATCCTGAGGGAATTAAAAATGAGTGCCCAAAAGAAAACAAATTTTGTTGCAACTATAGGAAAGTAGACGGGTTCGCTGTAACATGGGATGGGTCCAACGTTTTTTATCTTGCCCTGTCGGATGACAATTATAACAAAAAAATCATAAAAACATTTAAAACCTCTTTGTCGAATAAGAACGTGTGTGTTGGGATATTCGACTCGAAAGAACAAATCAAGCTGCTCCACCACTGTTTCGGGATAAATTTTAAGGGTAAAATGGAAGATCCCAAAATAGCTGACTGGGTTTTGGAACCAGAGGGAAAGGAAAAGAATTTACAGGCCATGGTAATTTATATTTAAAAAATTTAGTTGTCTGTTTTCTTTGTTTTTATCTTTTTAGACAGTTAAATATTGCCCTGAAGCGGTCAAACTGTCACAACTAGCAGGAGGCTGTAAGGGAGTTGGGAGTGTCGCTTTAGACTTGTACAGTTCAATAGAATCCAAAGTTCGTGCCTCTGTAGAGGCAATTGTGAATTGGCACTTAATAATTTCACTTAAAACAATTTTCAAAGATACGAATTGCCTAAATATGTATGGTAAGGACTTTGTTCATTTCCTGATCAAGGTTAATGTATTAGAAAACTTTTTTTCAGAGGTCGAAATGGATACTATGTTATGTTTGGCAAAAATGGAAATAAACGGAATAAGTGTATGCAAAGATTTGCTTCAGAAATTGGTAGAATCTTTGAAACATCAAATGGGTATGATTGAGAAAAAGGCCTTCTCATTGGCGGGAAGACATTTTAATTTCGTATCATCGGCAGATGTTGCAAAAGTTATAGGTACCTTATCTTATATTTTTATCATTATAGTAGAGGGTGAGTTGATTTTTTTTGTCAGACTTTAGGAAAAAATAATGATGTATACACAATATTCTTTTATCTTTAAAAAAATGTTTTCCAAATGCATAATGATGTATTTTTTAGATATTAGTGATTTTTTTTTACAATAAAACCGTATCTTTCAAATATATTTTCATCTTTAAAATTGTGTCACTGAAAAATAGAGCGCCGAATGGAAAAAAAAAAAATAAATTATATGCCGTTCACAAAATTAAAAATAATTTTTTCAAAATTTAAGCTCAGTGTACAATAAGATAGTTCTTGAGTTTTTCTCATAAAACTGACCGTTACAGACTAAAACTGTCTATTATTAAACTAAACATTCCTTAATAAATACAGTAAAACTCGGTTATAGCGAGCATTCACGGGAACGCAAAATTTGCTCGTTATACGCGAGTGCTCGTTATAGACGTCGCCGTCGCCAACTATGCTGAAAATTATTGGACACATATTGGACATAGCTGCATTGCACTTGTATTTTTATTTTCAAACATATAATATTATTTATCTACATAACATAGATACGTATAACTGTAGGGAAGTTACATTACATAGCATTTATTATTAACGAAAAAATTCTGTAATATTTTTCTGCACCACTCTTTTGCTTAATATCTCCTGACTGATATTTCTTTGCAACCAATCAGCGGCATTTAAGAACTGCTCGTTTTCCGGATATTTGAATTCGACGTATGATACTATGGTTTTTAACGCAGAGATGGCTTCATGTGTCGAAGGAACTGTAACCTCATCGCTTCCCGTTTCTTCTTCATCACTTTCTTCATCTATTGATGGGTTAATCGCTAATTGTGTGGTTTGAATTTCATTTGGGAATTCAGCCACTTCGAGACTTTCGTCTACCATGTCGTACTGAACTATGTCAAACACGTCAAAATCGGATATGTTGTTTTTTCTACTAGTCATAACAAGTTTTTGCGTTCATTTGATGTCATGTGCGTAAAAACTGGTTCTACGATAACTCGTTATAGCCGAGATCACTATTGCGCGGGACCAAAATCAAAGCTCGTAATAGCCAAACCCTCGTTATATACGAGTTCGTTATAGCCGAACAAAAATACACGTCTTACATAGGGAATTCGGAAGGGACATTTCAATTTGCTCGTTATAACCAAGTGCTCGTTATATCCCCTGCTCATTATAAGCGAGTTCAACTGTAATTAAAAAAAAATTGAGTTATCTCTATTGAATCATACCTATTCCTCTGTAACGTTGGTAATGAGGATAATGTGAAAAGAATATATGTCACATCAAATAAAATCTGCCTGGAAATGGTAGAAAGAAATATTTTTTAATACACACCACTTTTTGAGTACTGCTGACTTGTTTTAAGTATACAGTGAAGTCCACTTAAATTGATTATCCTGTTATTACCTAATACAACAACTAATAACAGTAAATCTATAACTTGAGTTAACATTGGTAGTTCCTTCACATCTAATAATCTGTTGTGTTTTGGTATTAGCCTAATGAGTAAAAATTGTAGTAGTGTTACTTTTGTTAATAGTTAGTGTCTTATTTCAATAGTGCACAATTACAGTAATCACGAAATGGTGGATATGCTTTTGGTTTATCGTAAATGTAGACAAAATGTTATTACCGCAGATCTTATGTATCAGAATCATTTTTGTATACTCGTTCAAAGATAAAGATTGATTAGTTATAACCCCTGCCAGTCCAGATGTGGCAACATCTAATACTTACTACTGTCATGTGAGAATATAACGTGTCATTCCCTCTCTACTCCAGAAGTTCTCAATATGTTCCCATTTTTTTTTGTCATAATGGAATATAAGATTTTTTTTATTTATTCTCAAATTTATAAAATACCTATATCTAAAGTTTGATGAAGAAAAATCGAACCACCTCATGTAGTAGTTTCATTGTCTTTATGATGAAATATCATATTTGTTTGAAATACCTTTAGGTATGTTCAGAGGAAGAAAAGTAAGCACAAGAAAACAGGTCTTAGAACAAAACGAACACCCAATTTCCGATCTAGTTCTGCAGTGGCGCAAAATAAACTGTACCTTAACGAAAATGATTTATCCACTGATACGAATAACTGCGGATGGACGCATCCGAGGCTGCTATATCAATCACACTGCTACGGGACGTATAACTATGCACGAACCGAATTTACAGAACATCGCCAAAGACTTTGAAGTAATCAATCCAGTAACTAAAGAGAAAATTAAAATAAGCTGCCGAAGTGCTTTCCGAGTTCCTGAAAATCATTGCTTGATTTCCGCTGATTACTGCCAATTGGAGCTGAGAATTTTAGCTCACTTGTCCAGAGATGAACTGCTAAGAAACATTCTTATAAAACCAGGGGATGTGTTTAGGTCTATCGCCGCCAAGTGGAACAAAGTGGAAGAAGATGAGGTATAAATTTAAAATTAATGGCTGTATTTTGCGATTTTATGTTATTTTTTCAGGTTAACGACACGATGAGACAAAATACTAAACACATATGTTATGGAATTATTTATGGTATGGGAAGTAAAACACTCGCAGAACAGTTAGAAATTGATGAGAGCGAGGCAATTTTGTTTATGGATAGCTTCAGGAACACGTATCCAGGAATTAAAAAGTTTATTAAAGAGACCATTGATAGTTGTCGAGATAAGGGTTATATAGAAACCATTTCAGGGAGGAGACGATATTTGCCACATATAAATGAAGCAAATACCACCAAACGAGGTATTATCTTTCACTAATTAGTTAAGATATTTACTATACATGCTGTAACTTTGAATGAGGATCATATTTATATGGAGACTACTTTTGACCTTTAGAAACACATGTCACAAGTTTGTTTTTGCTCAAATTCTGTCCTCAAAACTAAATTATTATTTTTTTGCTTTTGTTTCGTAATTTTTCACATCCTGCTGCTGAAAAGTGTATTTGGCTATTCTCGTTTTCATGAATTAATGTTGGCTGTTTGTTTTTTGCCTGCTTAAAGACCCGTTGTATCACATCAAATGGATTGATATGTTGTTTACCTAAACTAGGTTAGGTTAATGTCGGAAATTATTGATAATGAAATTCACAAACTAAACACGGTGCTTTAAAAGAATAACCGATAGTTTTTATTGGAAACTTACTGAAATTTTTGAAAGATATTTATTATCACATCAAAAAAACTGACCCTCTACTAAAAATTGCACCTTATACAGGTTTTTCAGGTAACCTGTTCACTAAAAGTTTTTAAAGTTCCAGTTACAATCAAAATTTGAAATTTATACAGCTATCTGGCTTCAATTTATTCTTTTTAAGTGAAATATTTTCAAGTGTGCGGTACTTCCGGTTTCTCCGAAAATTACCGCACCCATGCCTTGAAAATCGATAGTTTTCGAGATATTTAAAATTTTTTTTAAATTTTGACGTGCAACGATTAATATTAAATATCTCTAACATGTGTATAGCTGGAAATGTCTTATTTGCATTATTAGTAGATGTTATGTATTCACAGAAAATGTGCCACATTTGACCTAACTATGCACAGGGTCCTCAAAATTTTGCAGCCATTACAGTAATCTTCAAAGGTTGAAAACTTTTTTTTTTAAATGGAACACCAACAATTTCATTAATCAGGAATATGTAGAATTAAATTCTGCGTCGATTGATATAGGTTTCCTATACTTATATTCAACGGTTTCGGAGATAATCGTGATTATTTATAAAAGAGGAACGTCCGTTAATTTGCGTCCGTTAATCCTTGATTATGGATTACCAAGTTAGATTTGAAATTTAGGAAGAAAATTTGAATTTCCAAAAATGTATTTTTATATCCGAAATTTTAACTTAAACTAACAACAATAAAATACATGCACAACTTCGAAGGAAATATTTGGGGAGATTTTTTACTTAACTAACGAATGCAAATATCAATCGAAATTTAAAATTTTTATTGTAACTGGAAGTTTAAAAACTTAATGAATGGATTATGTGAAAAACCCTGTGTACCACCATATGTCCGTGATTAGAGTGAGTAACGGCAAAATGTTTTTATTAGAGATGGGAAAATTCCCAAACTATGAAAATTCCTGGAAAGTTTCCATTGAAAATTCCGGAAATTTTCCGAAAATTTCAAAAAAATTTTTTTGGATTTGGTATTGTGTTCTACATACCATCAGCTTTCCAAAAAGACCAAATACTTATATACATTTTTATTTATATTGGTATAAATATTGGAAAAATATAAATTATGTATTAATCATCCGTTAGAAAAAATTACATGCTGAGGGTTACAGTGCGTAAACACTATACAGTATACAATATTTATCTTTATTTTTTAACAAACAAATAGTAAATACATTAAATAATTATACTAGTTTTAAAATGTAATTGTACTTTGGTATAACTATCAAAATTCATATTAAATTTGAAAAGGAGGCAATTTATGAGTCTTGTATTGCTCTCTATTATGTAGATTGTAGACTTAACAAAGATTAAAATAAGTAAGTGTAAGTGTTTTCTAACTTATTTGGATAATATGGTCTTCTGGTATTCCAAATTAACCGAAAATCCGAAATTAACCAACGATTTTTTGTGTATGTTCATAGAAGTTAGAAGTAGAATTGGCTCCAAGTTTACAAATTGTTAGAAATATTCCCGGAAATTTTCCGACGGAAATTTTTTCAGAAACTTTCCAGGGAAAATTTCTCAAGCTTCGATTATTTCTTCCCGGAAAATTTCTGTTTTGGAAACTTTCCGGGACGGAAAATTTCCCATTGCCCATCTCTAGTTTTTATGTTTCCTTATACAGAAAAAGTTAAGCTTGGATAAAAATTTTACTTGTTTTTAAAATAAGGTTTTCACTATAGGGTCTTCAGGAAACAAAAAAATCTGAAAGTGATGTGTAAGAGTGATGACCCTAATATTTATCAACACAAATAAGCCGGTACTGAGGAAAAATAAAAAATTACGTCGAAATTTCAGATTGTTGTTGAAACTGCCTACTTGGTCCTGAAATAAAAAAAGAAAAATAAATAAACCGTTAGGTAAAATGAATGCAGTAGCAAAAACTGTATCCTCTATTCGTTCAAGAGATATAAAAAATTGTAATTGTTAGAATATATTTTAGTCCAGACGGTATCTGTTTCAAAAAGTCCATATTTGGGTGAATCGTATTTCCACCGTGATTTTTGGCTTTAAAATATCACTAGAAATGAAAATTTTTCTATGCGCATAAAAAAAAACGTGGGTTTAACTTTTGGCGGCACAATATGTTAAAAAAATTCTAAAAATGTCATATTTTTCTTCCTATTCCATTATGTATCTTTTCAAGAGTTGATTTTAGGCGAAAATTGAATGGAAAAATATGTTTGTAATTAAATTTTACAAAATATAACTAGTTACAAATCGAATAAATCATCATTATTATTGTAAAAATCAAAAAAATCGCCAAAAATGGGATTGAAAAACATTACTTTTTAGGGATTTTTTTTGGGGTCTTTAAGTTGGGTATATAGGACCTTCGTACTTGTCTCAAGAAAAGTTCATGTTATGTAGAATATTATTTACTGTTTAAAATATAAGCAAATGAGAAATTAACTAATTATATTACAAAAATACAAAATTATAGTACAAAAATTCGACCAATGTTTAAACAAGCACCAGAACTCTCCTAATTGACGGATTCAAATTTTTCAAAAAGCGCTTGAAAACTTGAGAGCCCTTCTACACGCGATAAAATTTTCAAGTATCTAAGGGCCTTGGTTTTTACTGCGCAAAATTTTGAAAATTTGCAAAATTTTTTTTCAAAATCTGGATTGCAAAATTATTATGTAAAATCTATCGAACCGATTTTGATGAAATTTGAAGTGATGATTCTACATAACATGAAGTTTTCTTGAGTCAAGTATGAAGGTAATATACTTACCCAATTTAAAGACCCCAAAAAAATTCCTTAAAAAGTAATGATTTTTAACCCCATTTTTGACAATTTTTACAATAATAATCATGATTCATTCGATTTGTAACGTAGTCATAATTTGTAAAATTTAATTACAAAAATTTTTTCCTCTTCCATCCGCCTAAAATCAACTCTTGAAAAGATACATAATTAAATAGGAAGAAAAATATGACATTTTTCGAATTTTTTTAACATTTTGTGCCGCCAAAAGTTAAGCCCACGTTTTTTTTTTATGCACAGAAATTTTTTTTTCTAGTGATGTTTAAAAGCCAAAAAGCCAAAAATCTCCATGGATATACGATTCACCCAAACCAAAACAGATACCGCCTAGTCTATTTCACTTTTCTCAGTTTACTATTGCACAATTTTAAGATTTTTGCCTGTCTTGTCAACACTCTGTACAGGCACACTTAACATTTGTACCTTATATCAGAAATAGTCGCAATCAGTTTTTAATCAAACATTTCTTTTATGAATAACACAAATGTTTTTCCTTTTGTCCGCTCTAACTGTCAACATATTGTATTTGTAAAATTGTTATAGCACAAGCCGAACGTCAGGCGGTAAATACCACTGTCCAAGGCTCTGCCGCAGATATTGCCAAAAAGGCTATGGTTAAGATAGAACAGGAATTACAAGAAGTGTTTAGTAAAACAAAAAACAAACCCAAATTGGTGCTACATTTACACGACGAACTGATGTATGAAGTACCAACAAAGTACGTTAAGAAAGTTGGGAAAATTATTAAGAAGAACATGGAAAATTGTGTACAGCTGTCTGTACCGTTTCCAGTGAAACTGAAATCTGGAGTGTCTTGGGGCGAGATGACTGAGTATATTCTGTGATAGCTTTATGATTTTTCACATATTTTAATTGTATTCTTCGTATTTGTAATTTTCATACTTTTTTACAATTTCTTTAATTATATTGTGTGCTTCAAAATGACTACGGCAACTAGTCAAATGTAAGATCTATTTATTCTATAATTTTTGTGTAATTGGGAAAAATTTTATTGTATGGTAATTTATAATAATAAATTAGGATTTAATAATTATTTAATATCCCGTTATCATCTGCATCACATCAAACCACTATAATATTACTTCAGAGTGTAACAAAAAAAAGTATGTTTAAAAAAATAACGTTCTAAAATGTGATTTTACAAAGTCAAATATTGTGTGGTCAGTAATATAAAATTGTTTCACTGTCTACAATATGCGCCCCATCTTCAAGTCAATTTTTGAATCCACAAAGCAAAATTTTTTGCTTAAAAAATAATGACGAATGATTATTATTAATAGAGTATAATTTGATTTTTAATTTTTGGAATTCTTGTTATTTATTACAGGATTTAATACTTAATATTTGAGAAAATGATTTTTATTTTATTATTTCTCTCAAATTTTAAGTACTACATTATATTGGGTGTCCTGAAATTAATTCAACAAAATTTGGTCACGATTCTTAAGGGGACATATACGATTAGAGCAATCAGAAAATAAATTTTTTTTATATTAAACGATAGAACTATATGAGGAATATATTCTGAATGTTTGAAAGTTACAGCCTGTAAACGTTGTGCATGTCCGTTCAGGTTCGGACCACACACCACAGGTAGAAACAAAAGCGCACACCACAGACAGAAGCAAGAATACACAGGGGCAAGTATACCAGATGTTTGTAGAACAATTAACCGTTTTCGGGAAACAACCGCCCAAGTTTGTTTACAGTTTATAGTTACCCTTTCTTTCACGTGTCACAACTTTAAACGCGTTTTTTCTCGAAACTGGTGTACACGATTACACAAAAACTATAGAACCGATTGAGTTCCCCCTTAGTAGGTTGATAACATTATTACCTTCTATATGACAGAAATTGATTTTGGTAAATTTAAATAAAATATATTTTTTTTATACAAATTGTACAAACATTTCGCATGAAAATTCGATTTTTGTCTTTAAATGTGTGCCGTTTTTTTAAATTTGCATTTTTTCCATTTTTCTCAACGTCACAGAAACTACACGTTTTAAATAAAAAATTTTTTGTATTTTGATGCAAATTTCAAGGGGAGCTAGGCTGTGCACCGTTTTGGAAGTCGTGCTGCTATTTTATTGTGATTCTCTACCACAGCTCTGCCATTTTGATTATGAATGAATTCAAAAAAATGTTTTTTTTTTATATATTTGAATATCGTGTTAAAGAACACCTACAGTCCGATGAATGTAGAATGAATATTTCGTAGTTTAAAAAATTCCTCAAAATCGACTCATTTTCCTCCATCTAATTGTATCTCTGTTCCCTTAAGACAAATTTAGGAGACCCATATTTTTTATTTTTGCCAAGTGGCCCCTGAAATCCTCCCTTAAAAAGAATCTTTTTTTTATATCTGAGAAGTCTGTTGTACGAGAATCACTAAATTTGGTACACAGAGGTTTTATGACATGTGCAATCTGATAAGTGCTACGCTTTTTGGCGGGGAACCCCCTAAGGTACTTTTCCGAGAGCCTCCTTGTCTAATAAATAAATATATAATAAATATACGTATAATAAATATTAAGAATTTCAAAAAATATTTTTTACACTTTGTTTTTTAGCATTACAAAATGACCTAAAGATGAGGTAATATGCATTCTTCTTTTTCTAAAATAAATCCTATAATAATATCAAAATAAAGCTGTACCTCCACAAAAAATGGTGGTCTATAGACCATTGGCGGTTCGTGACATTGAGAATAGACGAAGAATATTTATTGATTGACTAAAAAGCAAAATAAAGTGCCGCTGGCGAGAATTTTCAAAATTTCAAGGTCAAATGGCTTTAAATGAATCTGGAAATTTTTAGTTGCATTTGTAATATTACCGAAAAACTGATGTTCGTGAGAAGGATTTTCATTTAGATTTTTTAAAAATAGAAATATTAGTTCAGCTTGTGGACTTCTGCGAACATTAGCGCACACAGTACATGTATGTTCCAAAGAAGCTTTGGGTTATGACAGCCCCACGTGACGTTCCCAAAATTGTTAAATCCCTCCTTATTCCACGCGCCCGACTTTACACAGACAATAATTAAACACGGCATACAGAAAGGTTTTTTTAAATAACTTCCACACAACCACTTATACTCCGAATACCCTTCATTCTGAAACTTCCGAACGTACACATTGTCTTGTGACTTCCCTTTTTTTCCATATCGAGAGAATAAGGTACAGAGGTCTTTCGCAATTTAAAAAAATCTTTTTTGTCCCCAATTTTCCATCTGGAAAATGGCGCTTCCAGTAAAAGACATACTGGATCATACATAGGAAACATTTCTACAATTATTATACAAAACAAATATTAACTAAGAACCATAATAATTGTGCACTGGGCGACGTGTTTGGTATAAACTGTTTAAATTAAAGGCAGGCGATGGGCGATGACAATATGCTTCAATATCCGTGTCACTCGTTCCCCCACGCCTGACGAGCCACCACTGCTTAGACTGTTTCTAAATTTAAAGTTTTCTAAAATTAGATTTGTAAACTGATTTTCATTTCAAATCCTTAATACCATAACATTGGCGCGGCTGTTAACACCAGGTACTAAGCTCTCCAACAATACGCAATTCAATTGGTGTGGGTATCTGGAATTGGACCGTGTCGGAGTGTTTTTTGCGTACCGCTATTTCTTTGAGGTGTTTTCCAGCCAATGCGCGAAAATTGGATTCGAAGGTATTGTGCGTCCGTTAACATTTGGTGGTGGACATTTTGAGCGTATGTTGTCGTTTGTTTTGTACTTGAGCATTTAAAAATTACTGAATTGTGGTTTTTGGTATTTGGAGTCCCTAAATGACGACGTGAATCTTTGGGAACTTTAATTACATATTTTTTTAATTCATAATTTGATTAAGTTACTAAAATTCAAGCTAAAATTTAAGCACAACACTATCTTCGTACTACAAAATCGATACATTTTATTTATTTATTTCAAAACTGGAAAACAATTGTCTTGAAATTGTTTCACAATAAACAGTTGTTTACATTTTTTCCATAGGACAAGTCTGCCGTATGGACACTTGGTGTGCATCAGCTGTGTAGCGCTATTGTCATGTGATTAAACTCCCCAATATTAATACTCGCTGTATTTTGAAAACTGTTAATCTTACGCCCCTATAATATACTTTTTTGTTCATTTATGATTACTCTATCTCATGTTGAAGTTATGGCAGTCAAACTTCTTACCCCCTTTATACTTATTTAACTTTTAATTTGATACTAACATTCCCTCTTTTAAACTTCATAATTTTATTGAATATTTTGCACATAAATGTATAATGTTTATTTGATGGAGTGGCATAAAAATCATCAGTAGTTGATGCCACACACGAAGCTCACCATGACTAATTAATAAAAGGGATTCAGATTTGGAGAATGTGGCGGACATTGAATGAGAACAGCACTATTTAACTTTCTCAGTTGAATAAATGGTACAATTAAATATATAACGTTATTTACAATATCTTTATTTACGGTTATGTGAATATTTATTTTTTTACGTACAGTGTATTAATAATTTAAATATTGTATAAACTACCTCAAGAAATCTTACTCAACAATTAATACTATTCGTTTTCAATCGGACTAGTATTATTTTCTTCAATGATAGATTCTTCTCCATTAGTCGTAGATGATACTTCTTCAAAGTTAGCATCATTCTGTTCGGCCTGAGCCACGATCATTTCCTGTTGTATCAATTTATATTGCTCCTGAAGATCTTTTATTTCATTCTGTAGGTAAGCATATTTTTTTTGCAATGCCTTTTCTCTTTCCATCTGTCTCGTCACGTCTTCGGTCAGCGACTAAAAAAAACCAGTATTAAACGTTGGAAATTGTGATGAAATCAGTAGACAACATAATTTTTATCAATGAGCCAAAAAGCTGTTCAAAAACAGATCTATTTACAGGACATCAGATATAACTAAAAATAATATACAGGATGTGCGAAAACGAATGAAAATAAAAATAAACAATTAGATCTAGTCACCTCGGTACAATTTTTCTTCCTTAAAAAGTTACGGGCCTTCAAAGATAATTTATTTATTCCAATTTTTTTAAGGTGATACATATCACTGCCACATGGCAGTTTTTGGGGTAACTGAATATGAATATAAACTTATTTTTTACTTAATACATCTGTACGTTACAGATAAAAATCTACCGCAACTCCAATATAGAATTTCACTAAAATTTCTTTAAAAATGATAGAATTATCATTTAAAAATTAATAATAAATAATGTACATTTTTTTGGAGGCCCATAGCATTTTAAGGAAGAAAAATTGTACTACGGTTCTTGATCTAAATCGGTTTATTTTCACCATAGGAAGCTACCTTTGCAGTATGGTATTGCTATTCACTTCTGTACACCCTGTACAAAGATTAAGAAAAGACCAACATATTTGCAAAAAAATTGGAAAACCTTTACCATTCTCAATTTTAATTCGGTATCAAAATTATTTTCATGGAAATTTTGTTAACAGCTTGGAATAAATTGAGGAAGATTATTTTCTTGCATCAAACAAACAAAAATTTAGTCTCATTTCTAATCTTCACATAATTAAAATTTTCAAATTTTGTCTGCAACATACAATATCCCTCAATGAATAGAAAATAGATCAAACCATAATTGACTTAAAACTCAACTTGCATCATACAAAGCTAAATAATTATCGACCAATAAAATTCTATCTTACATTGGGAAAATTTCTAAAAAAGTTACTAAAGACAAACTACACAAAAAATTTCCCTCCATCAATTCGGGTTCAAATTAATTCAAAATAAAATGAAACTGTAACAAAATTTGACCATAAATAACACACATGAAATGAAAACTATTATACAATGTGAAGTGATTACTTTCAATTGTGGTTAAACAAATCCAGATTGCAATGCAATTCATCTAAATCCCCATTTATTACATTCAATCGCAAAATGTTGAAAGTTTCTCAAACCATTTCCTTATAGGCTAACCAATAGAGCGAAAAAAGAGGCTTTTACACTTAAATATTACAACAAATTTTATGTATTTCCTTTGGAAAAATACTTAGTAAATGAAGACCCAAGTGATTTCCCCAGCAAAGACGGGAACAATTTTTTTTAAACAATACAAACTGCAAAATTATTTTTTTTTTGATTTTTTATAATATCTCAAGAAATAAATATGGAATCGTCTTACTCTCAACAGGACTTTTGTAGAGAATAAAAAAACTTAAAAATAGTTTTTTGTGCGACCCGATCGGTTCATTTTTTACAGAGAATCTCCGTCAAATTTGAAATTGGAAAAACAATTTTGCGGAAAATGACATAATAATATGTAGTTTAATCGTGCGCAAGATGGTTTCTGTCCGACGCATAGTTTTTGCACAATTGCATTATAAACAAATTAGGGTATTTTTTTGCACAGTGTGGCGATTTACCAAAAATGGTCCAATTTAAATTCTGAAAATGGCATCTGAAAGTAGACGACAAAATCTCCAATTTATATATCCCGGATTTTTACCGATCGAATCACATAAAAAACCATTTTATAGGTTTTTTTATTCTCTACAAAAGTCTTATTGAGAGTAAGACAATTCCATCATTATTTTTCGAGATATTATAAAAAACAAAAAAATGTAATTTTTTTGCTGTTTTTATTGTTTCAAAAAATTGTTCACGACTGCTGGGAACATCACTTGGGTTTTCATTTACTAATAGGAATTTTTCGCGAGTTCCCGTTCATGACCATCAGAATCTTAGCAGTTTGTCACTGAACAAAAATTTTTACTCTTATTTGCTCTCAAAGCGAACTTCGCGAAAATGAGACGGTAACTGGTTATTTGTTCTCCGTGGAAATTGGGAACAATTTTGTAAGGCAGCAATATTGCCGAAAATTTTATATATTTAGCGAACATATCCGCCAAGTAATAGACCATCACATTTGGTTGGATAGATACCATACCAAGAACATGTATTTTTCCAGTTATTTCGTATGAAGAAATATTTCATAAACTGTTGAAACAGTAACAGAAAATGATATTGCATGTTTGATTAATCCATTCAACAAAATATTAGCTGTTTGCAGATCTGTAAGGACTGTACATCTCCCGAATAATTCAAAGTAATTTGAACGTTTTCGTCGTTTTTCGATTCAATTTTCATTTTCTCTTTTGTGCGGTTTGGGTATGTATCTTTACATTAACCTTACTTTCGTTATATCGCAATAACCGCTAGTAACTCACCACTAGACACCGGTAAGAAAATCAGTTTCCGTTTTATAGATACTAACGTCATAAGAGTAGCTTATTCTTGTATTCCCCTATTCCCGCTATTACTCAAAAATGCATCGGTAACTGATTTCTTATCACCGTTGATCAAACGGGAACTCACGAAAAATTCCTACAAGTATTTTTCAAAAGGTAATACATGAAATTTTCTGTGTTAAGTGTGCCAAAAAATCTGTATTGGTTGGCCTATTAAGAAATCAACAAATAAGACTTCCAAAACATCAAAAATATCTTGGAATATATTTCAAATATGTCAAATTAGTTAAAAGAAAAATTATAATAGGGCAAAATTCTTGGATGTTGCTGCCACCAAAATATACAAAAACATCTGCAGACCACTCCTCGATACTCTTTTCCTGAATCGTTGCAAAGAAATTTTAAAAAATTCTGCAATTTTCTACACAATCTTTCAAGGGAATACATGTATACTATATCACAAATATTTAACCTATCTATCAGATTGCAAAAACTCCCAAAAATTTGCTACAAGAAGTGAGTTAGAAGTAACTTTAAGGTACCATAGTTTTTTGGATTGCTATGCTGTGGCCTACCAATTACAAACTTGCAACGCCATAGAACCAACAAGAGCTGAAATCAATATTAATGCATACCTAGGGGTTCTGATTGCAGGTTTGCCCCCATAGAGTTTAGCCCGAGAACAACAATGGCAAATCAAAGGTTCCTAGCTGAAGCTATGAAAGTGCAATATAAGTCTACATATCATCCTAAAAAACCATTCTACTTTAAATTTCAGACTTGTTATGGCTAAGGAAGTGTGCTGTAGGTATGTCACTTGCGGCGACCTGGTATGTCGGCCACAGCATAACAACCCGAAAAGTCATGAAAACCTTAAAACCACTCAAATTAGAAGTATTTAAACCTTTATTCGTCTCAAGAAATATCCAGAGAAAACAATTGAAGAAACGCTTAAAAACCAGAAACATTTAAATAGTTTGTACTCGAATGTTTTTTTTATGAAATTTAATCTCTTTTTTTTCAAGTAATATTTATTACTATTATTAATAATAAATGATTTTGACTAAACAATTTTACCTGTATTCTTCTGGGCAATGCAGCCTCCTCCTGCTCTTGCAAGAATTTGAAGGTATTCAACTCCAAATTTGCCTGGTCTATATTCTCGTAAATATCCTGCAACTGCTTGATGAGCGCCTGAGCTCTCGACTGATAACCGCCCGTAAGGATTTTCAACTTCTTCTCCATCTTAGCCGCCCTCTTGGCCTCTTTCGCCATGTGCGACCTATTCTGCTCCAGTCTTTTCTCTGCCGATTCGAGACGATCCTTCTTACTGGCTAAATTAGCCCTCGTATATCTATTCTGATTCGGCAAGAACAGAACTTGGCTAAGACACTCGTCCCATACTTGAGTGTACGCCTCGATAGGCAGTTCCCCGTGGTTCATTCCGATCTTAACGACTTCCATTTCTCTCTTCAACATCGTCTTGGCGTCTTCTAAGTCTTTCCCTTTGAAGTTTTCGTAGGGGTGTTGCTCCAGGAACGCTAACTGTTGGGCTTGCGAGAGATTCGACCGTTTATTCGAAGCGGGAACCGCGTTTTTTAAATTGTCGAAGTGCAACATAGTGACCATCTCGCGCTTTATGAGTTCCTCGGCTTTTTGGAGATCCGTAAGGGAATAGCTTTCGTGCGGTGGTCGTAGAACGGACATGTTAACGTCTAGGGGTCTCGGTAATGCTCTCTGGATCACTTGAGATCGACTGGCTAGTTCTTTAGCTGCTTTTGCCTTGAGTTCTTCTTCATGTCTCTTGTCGACATCTGCCTGGTCTTCAACCTAACAAGGAAATTATTAGAATGTCAAATTGGAAATATTTATTTTCAGGACCCTTTCTATCAAGCGTGCAGTGCATGAAATGTTGTTATGAATCTCAGAGTTTGTAAAAACTATTTACATAGTACGAATAAAATGATTTAAAAAAATTTTCCATAATTTGTCAGTACTATCGAAGTTTTAATAATTCTTTTGCAACACTGCAATATTAATTTAATTTTTAATGCAACCGAAATGTTCCTGTTTCTAATTATCACTTACCATCTGCTCTTGCGCCTGTTCCGGCATTTCCTCGTCGGCGTGTTCCGGGACAACAATCTCGTAGTCGTTTTTAGGCTGTGGCAAGCTGCTCAGACACATCTTTAGCTGTTCCTTTAGCGAATTCTGATATATCCTTTGTGCGGCTGGCGTGTCGGCAACGTCAGCACCATCCTCCGGGTTGATATTCAATTTATCCCTTACCGAAGGTGTCACATTACCATTCTGCGTGCCCACTGGGACAATCGCGCCGGAACGCGGAGTCATGAAGCCAGCGGTACTGCCCGGAGTGGCACTACCGTCGCTTCTAGTCGATCGAAAAGGTGTCGCTAAAACGGTGTTGGGGGTGGCGACAGATTGTGCTTGAGGCAAGACACCGCTAAAATCGGTGTTATGGAGAGGGGTATTCAAACCTCCTTTCAGTGGGGTGTCTACGTGGGTGAGAGCCATCACGTTTTGGGCCTCTTGAAGTATTCTTGGGAAAATATAGAAATAATTAAATAAAAATAAAGTAAGTGTGTATTGTTGCTACAACTAATTACATGTTTTCTCTGCTCTAAATGCCTAGAAAAATAAGGACTAGTTTCTTTGAAAATAGTAAACGTTTTACGATTTACGTTTAAAATTTATTTAATGTTCTGTTTTGATTGAATACAGGATAAGAATATTATTAATACTTGACTTATAAGCTATTACTTATTTTTGAAAAATATTTAAAAAAAAGCTTCTTTGAATAGAAGAACATGACAGAGAAAATTATACGGGGTTATATGAGAAAATAAAAAAGGCAAACTTACTATGTGAAGGAATTTTCAGTATCAGGGAATTACCTCTCAATTTTAAAAAGCTTCTTATAAATGTAAAATTTTCAATTCGATACGTGAATCGCAAATATTTTGAAATAAACAATGTGAATTTTTATCATCAAAAAGTGTATTTAGTGTATCAAAAAGTGAATGTTCACAATTTTGTGAACATCCACTTTAATACTAACATTTGTTAAAGATAAATTTGTAGAAAAATACAGGGTGATTCAGGTTTAATTTGGATAACTTCAGGAATCAATAAAACAGGTGAAAATAATGTTCATTCATGATATAAACTTATTTCCTAAATCGCAATGTTTCAGTTGAAGGATTTTTTTCCCGTTTTTCCCTCATAACTTTTGAACCACTCATCCGATTGAAATGAAATTCAGAACACAAACACTCCTTATGATCTTACATAAGCTTCTTAAGTTCAAATCACCTACCCCTCTTAGATTATTTCAAAACTTAAAAAGAGTAATTAATTTCAATAAAACAGCTGCACACCACCTTTGACTCATTAATTTTGAAACTTTTTCGTCTCTTGTTTTTTTTTTCTTCGATATTTGGCCTTGTTTCTGAGATATTCAATGAAATTCGTGACAATGTAGCGCTCAGCCGCTTAAATTGTATACAAGGTGATTCAGGTTTAATCTGGATAACTTCAGAAATCGATAGAACAGGTTAAAATAATGTTCATTCATGATATAAACTTATTTCCTAAATCGCACCATTTTGGAGATAAAGGGCGTTAAAGTGGGAATTTTTTTTCCCGTTTTTTTCCTCATAACTTTTGAACTTAATAATACTTTTAACGATGATTTTCACAAATGTCAGTTTATACAAATCACTGTGGGCTACCTCGCTATCTCCGAAACGGTACGATTTAGGAAATAAGTTTATATCATGAATGAAACATTATTTTAATCTGTTCTATCGGTTCCTAAAGTTATCCAGATTAAACCTTAATCATCCTGTGTAATAAATTAATAATTTTTGGTCATTATTTTAATATTCGTGCATATTTCCAAACAACATTAACATCTTGGATATTTACCATCAGTAGGCACAATTAACAAAAATACAAAGAATTGGAATTTTCATTGTGATGACAGAAAAAGAACTGAAGTAAAATTTGTATATAGCAAAATGTGACAGCGATATTAAAATAGTTATTTATGTAAGGCTTCTGTTCGTTTATAAATTTTAGTCAAATTTGTTAGATCAAAATGGATGGATGTCATTTTGACGAATTAACGAGTTTGATAAAATTCTCGAACTAACCAATTTCTTTTGAATAATGGTTTTGTTTTTCAGTTAATTGGAAATGGGTAGAAATGTAGTTTAATGAGGGTACTTTGAAAAAAAATATAAGGTACCTTTAAAGGTGTATAATTCCTTTACAAAACTTTTCTTCACCTGTGTTATAGAAAAAAATAATAAAATAGTGATTATTGAAACATTATTTCTTGTAGTTAATTTAATTTAATCAAGTGATGACAATCGAACCAATTTGAGACAGAAATTAAATACAATTTATTTATTATTTTTTCAAACATTTTCATGTCTAAAAGGGTTTTACATAAAAAGGAAACTGATGAATCCAAGGTCAAGAAATTCATCACCTTTGACTATGTAGAACCGTTATAAAATAAAGTAGGTATTTACATACATGGTCACAAGCAGGAAAAGCTATCCTTTATGCCACTTAAAAAAATTAAGTCTTGTTTACCATAGCAATGAAACTGATTGTGAAAAAAAATAAAATAAAAGCACCATTGTACAGCAAAAGAACTAAAAATTTTTGTTAAAAGAACAGAGTAAATAAAATATAATACATTTTTGTATATTCTGCTAAATGATAAAGTTTAACCTGTTTACCTGAAATTGTAAAGAATATATGGACAAATAATTCTACCACAAGAATTAGGCAAACGCAAATCAAGGTTGTGATTGTCATAATGTAATTATCTGTCATTAAAAAATATTTTATTTTTAAGAAAATACTGACAATGTAGGTAGTAGGTCATCTGCTTAACGTCCTTAATGCCTTGATTATAGCAAAACAAAAAAATATTACAAAATCTTATGTCTTACCTATCAGTTTGAGGAGCTGGAGTTCTAGGAGTTGCGGCAGCTTGTGGTGTGACCGTATAATCGTTCAATAATGTGTCTGTTGTCTCCACACCACTTTCGGCTGCAATTTCCCTTGCTACTTCACTAGCCCTTCCCAATTTTACAACTTGATGCATTTCCTGATCAGAAATCTGTGGTTCAGGCAAAACAAGCTTGGACCTCTTCTTTGGAGGCTCAAGATTTTGCAACATGGCTTGTGGAATGTCGTTTTCCTTTCGTTGTTTCAACTTTTGTTTGTCTTTTCTACGCTCCCTCTGAAAATAAACAATGATAAATACATCTTAAGATTTCCTTACAAAATGTCACAAATCAAAGCGACACGAAAACTATACCTCCTCCTGTTCACTTCTTAGTTCGCCATCTAAATGTTGTTGTCTCATTTTAGAAAAATCTGGGGCCATCGGGTCCAAAGCTTCATTGGAAGTGTCATAGAATCCTATGGCTGGCCTTTTTTCAAAAGGTATTTCCGCATTGTAATCTACTCCTCGCTTTTTCTTCCTGCGTGAATTCACTTCAATACCAGCAGCTCTCAATTCTCTTCTTTTCTGCAGTGCTGCCAATCTTCTAGCTTCCTCCAATTGCTTTTCGCGAGCCTTCCGTTTTGCCTTTTTGCCTTGTGTGTTAGCTAACCTGGCCCTAGCTTCAGATAGCATTTCCAACTCTACAGACATATTTGATATAAAAACTTTGAATAAATATTCTATATGTACAAAAAATTTACCATCTTCATCCATATCCTTCGGGTCAGGTCGAGCAGGTTTTGTTTCTGGGTTGGGATCAATTTCTCCTGGTTTAAGTTTACGAGGATCATCGACAGCATCTTCACCTTCCTCCTTTTTCTGGGCTTGATCCCTAAGAAATATTTGTATATATAGCCACAGCTGAATGTCAACTGATAATCACTTACAATAAATATTCGTAACGTTCTAAACACTGAGCTGCTGTTCTTCCTATGATAGGAGCAATAGTTCTCCACTGAGTTGGCATAAGTTTAGCTAAATGTAAAAGTTTTTCATCCTCCTCTCGAGACCACTCAGTTTTTTTGATGCTAGGATCCAACCACTCAAACCAACGAGCCTTGCATTGCTTTGCTGATTTTCTGTGTAATAATGAAGCTATACGTGACCACTGGTTTTTGCCATATTTCATAACAGCAGCTTTAAGAATCTCATCCTACAAACAAAGTATATTAACAAATACTTTAATAAAGTTATTGTATGCATTTTTCCATTAGGGGAATACATAAACTGATTGGCATAAATAATCACTTTTGTTACTTACCTCGGTGTTTCTCCAAACACCACCTTTTATCATTATTCGTGGCATTTTGAATAATGTTTTCAACTAATTGATAGGAACTAAATTCGATTATTAAACAATCACTTTTAATATAACCTGAAATCTGATGACATGACCTGAACACTGAACACATATTCGGAAGTAGGAAGTCAGTGAACGAATGAACGACAGAATGACAGAACCACAATGTAGCACAGAATGACAGAATACAGTAGTCACTTGAGATGGAGGAAGAATCGTATATTTAAAAGTGTAGAACGCTGTAGAGAGAAAAGGCGATAGTTGGGGCAGTTGGACACTAGCCATCTCTCTCTAATCGTTGAAGAAGGAGTTGCATTAGCCAATTACGTGCCTGTGCGATAGAGAAAGAAAAACCAATAATAAGTTACCAAAGAACACACCAAAATTTTTTAAAAATTTATTTATGGCTTAGGGCTAGTCGGCTAATCTGTGTTATAGTTCAAATCTCTTCACTGAACCATAGAATATATAAAATATATAAAATATTGTTATCAAAAAAACATAAAATATAAAATTTTATCTACCAGTTTCTTTTTTATATTTTGCGATTAGTTTTAATAACCAGTGCCAGCAGCAGTAGCACCAACGCCCAACAATTATAAAGTAAATGTTACCAGGTGAAGTAGTGAGTAGTAAATATTTAATATTTTATGTAACGTAAAATCGAATAAAATTTTATGAATTTTTTATACTGTGCGGTGCAGAGATGAGTATATCTTGTATAAACTAGTTAATTCAATATTGATATGAATGAAATTCTATTCAATAAAATATAGAGACGATTGACGTTTCTGTCAAATTGCAAAATTTTAAGAATAAAATTAAAATAATTACAAAGTAAAAAATATAAGTGCACGGATAGACATAACACAACTGTAGTTATTTATATAATAGAACAATGGCTGGTTTCGCTTTGAGGATAAAAACAAAAAGTGGCCAACAAGTGGTCAACAGCTTAACGAAAGAAAGCACTATAAAAGAACTGAAACAAGTGTTGTCTAGTTTGTCTAACATACCAATAAATCGCCTTCACATTCTCTCAGGGTTTCCTCCAAAAATTTTAGATATNAGGCCTACACGAGATGAGGCAGGATAAAGAGGGATAATCCCCCTCGATCCCAAATCATTGAGGCCAATTTCTAGCCATAGAATAATGGCGCGGCTTAGGGCTAGTCGGGTAATCTGTGTTATAGTTCAAATCTCTTCACTGAACCATAGAATATATAAAATATATAAAATATTGTTATCAAAAAAACATAAAATATAAAATTTTATCTACCAGTTTCTTTTTTATATTTTGCGATTAGTTTTAATAACCAGTGCCAGCAGCAGTAGCACCAACGCCCAACAATTATAAAGTAAATGTTACCAGGTGAAGTAGTGAGTAGTAAATATTTAATATTTTATGTAACGTAAAATCGAATAAAATTTTATGAATTTTTTATACTGTGCGGTGCAGAGATGAGTATATCTTGTATAAACTAGTTAATTCAATATTGATATGAATGAAATTCTATTCAATAAAATATAGTGACGATTGACGTTTCTGTCAAATTGCAAAATTTTAAGAATAAAATTAAAATAATTACAAAGTAAAAAATATAAGGGCACGGATAGACATAACACAACTGTAGTTATTTATATAATAGAACAATGGCTGGTTTCGCTTTGAGGATAAAAACAAAAAGTGGCCAACAAGTGGTCAACAGCTTAACGAAAGAAAGCACTATAAAAGAACTGAAACAAGTGTTGTCTAGTTTGTCTAACATACCAATAAATCGCCTTCACATTCTCTCAGGGTTTCCTCCAAAAATTTTAGATATCACACAAGACAATTTAAATTTAGCAAGTAGTGGTATAACTTCTGGTGATACTCTTATACTAGAAGAGAGATCTGCACCTGTTCCTGTACCTAAAGAAGTAGATGTTGAACAAATTCAAGAAAACAAAACAAGGAAACACGTTGAAGATCCTTTCGATTGCCCAGGAATATTAATGAAAAATGTAGTGCCTGCAGATAATTCATGTTTGTTTACTAGTGTTCATTTTGTACTTAATGGCAAAGTTGATGAATCAGGAAATGTAGCTCCTTATATGAGACAATTAGTGGCAGAAACGATTAGAGCAGCGAAGGATCAATACGATGAGGCAATACTAGGCAAACCTATTGACGAATATTGTGCATGGATTCAGGATGATAAGTCGTGGGGTGGAGCCATAGAATTAGCCATACTCTCTAATTATTATGGAATGGAAATTGCAGTTGTTGACACAATAAATGCTATAATCAATAGATTTGGAGAGGACCAGAGTTATCCTCATAGGGTATTTCTGATGTTTGACGGCATACATTATGATCCCCTGTATATGGAATCTTTAGATGTAAGTGAAATTTTTTGATTTTTGGGTTATATGTGATGATGATCAATCATTTTAGGGAGGGAAAATACAAACAATATTTTCCAGTGAAGATGATAGAGTTTTGCGAGAAGCAGAACAATTAGCACAAGAAGCAAAGTCGAGCAGACAATTTACGGACGTTGACAAATTTTCATTGAAGTGTATGATCTGCAATATTTTGTTGAAAGGACAAGTTGCAGCGCAGCAACATGCACAAACCACTGGTCACGCCAATTTTGGAGAAGTTTAGTAGTACCTATGATTACATTTTTCATATATTAGGTTGAACTGAATATACCTCATTTGTAAAAATGCAATTAGCGCTATTATTGTGTTCGAGATATTTATGGACTTTATACGGCTTTACCATAATGATAGAGTAAAGGTAATTATATAAAAATTTGATAATTGCTGGCTATTATTCTGATCAGAACAATTTACACATGAATATTTTCCAGTTTGTGTTTTATTTCTCGAATGTTAGCAATTAATATAAAAAATATTTCAGTGAGAATACATTTTAACGGTTTATTCTTATATTAATAATAAAATTATTAATTTGTCAAAATTACTTCTAAAATGGCATTTGTGTAAGTTTAACTTTTTTGGTTCTTCATAATGTTTATTTTTTTGGGAGTGATAATTTTTAAAAACAAAGTCAATACAATTTTTGTTTTATTTTATAATTTATGATACCTTATAGCTGTTTTACATTGACAATTTATTGATGAATAAATTGACGAAGATATTCATGAATTAATTCACGAATTTATTGGTAAAGTGTGGTTTTTACACTGCTACAGACTTTGTCAAGTTTTTTGACGCATGAATCAGTTCTACCAACGAATCAAAGAAGCAAATAAATTTCAAAAATGTCACCTTTCCACTCATAATTGTAGTGATACAACAGTGGTACCGTTTTGACACATATTATATAAATATTAGTGCTTGTAAGTAACAAATCGGTAAAAACAATACAAAACTAGTATGATGCCACACAATTATTTTACATATTCCAATAACATAACCTCATTACTGATCTGTGGAAATCTGTTGGGTTGGTACATCCGAAGTTCATGAAGAAGTTGATGAAAATTAGAACGCTCCAATTCGTCAAGAACTTGATGAATAAATTCATGAAATTATTTGACAGCAGATTTGGTGCATTTCACTATTTGTCCAATTTCTTAATGAAGTGACTTCATGAATTAATTGATCAATAAATTGTCAATGTAAAACAGCTATTAATAACAAAAGCCTTCCTATTTGTACAGGGTGGTCCTAATGGTCTTAATATTTTCTGGATATCTTTTTGTATATACTGTTTTCCAAAAATGAATGAGTAGGGAGTCTAGTTTATATGATTGGATTCAGTCCGAATCCCAAAATTTACTTAAAAAAAATATATATTTTTTTGTCAACTTTAATGCCTTCTAGTGGGTTAACTAAGCAAGTTAGGCCGATCGCAAACACAGCCATGTGTGGTCGCCACTGGTGGCTGCTACACTCTGCGGACTGTATTTTGTACGAAGTTTAAATGCGCTCAGCACAAATACACCATTGGCAGAGGCTCGACTCGATTGAGCCACATGCTACAGCAGCAGCCGTATATCGCATCTTGTAGCCGACGACAGCCACTCGTCTTTCATCACAAACACAATCCACAGAGTCCACAGTCTATCACCACCTGGTACGTTTTCTGAAATTATGAGCACAGGAATGGCGGACAATATAGACGTAGATGTGTTTGTATCCGAAATTGAAAATTGTCCAGCTATTTGGGATATGCCGTCTGACGTATACTCCAACAGATCAGAAAAAACCCAAGCCTGAGGAAATGTGTTTAAAATTCGTTCCGGACTTTGAAAAAAAGACTACAAAGGAAAAAAATAAATCGTGGAATATGACCACAATCATTCGAAAATATTTAAAAAATTTGTCTTCGTGTAACTTTAAATCTTCAAGAATAGCAGGAAACTTGTTGCTCCATGTACATGGAATATCGAAACACCCTGTATATTTTATCAGATTCATAAGGTTCTATGCTTGGGGCAGTCGTACGCATAGGGTGATTAGTCTTAAAAATCTCAAATGTTATCAATGAAATAGTAGCACAATTTTTAGTAAAGTATTTTGTGTAGCAACATTTATATGAATATTGTAGGACATCCCTGTATTGAAGCATGAAAATTATTATTTTTGCATACTTACCTTTTAAAAACTTGGGGACTATAAACACATTAAATCAAATAAAAATAATATTTTGTTTATTCAAATCAGAAGTGGGGTGAAAAAAAAAAAGAGTATGGGTAACACATTTTTATTCACATTGGATACAAATAAAATTAAATGATGATATCATTGATTAAAATAACACTAGCTTAAATTTGCAGTGACTAAGACTAGAGAATATATGATGTTGAGCAAATCAGTTATAAACAGACTGTAACAGCAATAATTACTTTAACATGTTAAACATAAAAAAAATGGTTAAATGTATGTACTATAAAAACTGTCGATAAAGTTTTATAGCACATTTTTCGACTATATTCATGTGATCATCATTATTAAGAAAAATAACTTCAATAAGAGCTTGTAAGAAGCAGAACAATCGGAAATTAAACCAGTTGGCACCAATATTAGCGATTTTTCAATAATGCTTAAATGCCGTTAAAATCACAGAACGTTTAGACATTAATTTAGCCATCATATACCTACATATTTTACTAAATAATAATTCAAGTAAAAAAATTTATCATATCCACAGAACAATTTTAAATTTTTTACTCACATATCCAATATTGGTGCGACTTAAAGTTATATTCAACAAATCGAAAATAATTCCACAAATTTAAACAGACATTATCACAACATATATAAAATTATTACCACTAAAGCTGCATTTGAAATTGTATGTTGATCGAGGAAAAGTGTACTACTCACATTTAGCCAACGATGGCCTTGGTGTACTCGAGATGGAAATGGGGGGGTCATTTAATTCCAGCAAAACCAGTATTCTGTCCAAGTAAATTATACATAAGTAATAACTCGCTAACGGAAAAAGCAACAACACCAACAAACTGTAAGTCACGGATGAACGGTGGATGATCGTTACTGGAAAATGCGGTTTAACATGCCTGTTGAAAGCGATGAGAAATGTGAGATGAATTGAGCTATGTTTTATTTAACAGAAGTAGCAATTTTTCTTCGTTGCTGAGTTAAAAAAAAGTAATTGTTTTTACTAAGCTAACCGAGCTTTTCCATAACAATATTATCAGTTCTGTCACTGGTTAGGATCATAAAAAGAGTGGAAGAGAGAAAACATTTTTTTTTTCAAAATAATTTTATATATATATATATATATTTTTTTTCAGTTCAGATGGTTTTTTTAATTCAAATATAATGGATACTAAATGAAAAAATGAAAGCTGTATTCAGGACAAAAAACATGACAATGAAAACGAAAACTAAAAAAAATAGAAAAATAAACTCTTGTTTTAATGATAAAAATCGCTCGTAAACTCGTTATACGTTTGTACCTAACGAATTAAAGTACTCGACAAGCTTTAACAGTTCAATAAATATCAGTCTTATTAGCTCGAAAAGAATGATAATGTATCATTAGTTTTTAAGCTGAAAATATTAGTTCAGAAACGATACGCAGCTGGTTAAAAACATGTAATTTTCAACTAACCGGGCGTACAGTTCTCGGCGTACTTTGGCCGTAAACTTATTGACTACACATAGCGTTGAAGCTGCTGCGAACGACAGGTTGTATAGGAGGACTATTTTGAAGTTCCCCAGCCACTCGATGCTCCCAAAGTCACCGAGCAAGTCAAAGTTGGTGATACCTAAGAAGATATAATAATTTTTCATATACCCAGAACATTTAGGTTGTGCGTATTTGATATCACAGCCACACACAAAAAAAATTATCTGTACTTTTTATGCGACATATGTTATCTGTAGTATTTTTGCTTCCTGATAAATGTGGTGTCAGAATTGAGCTATCAGGTCACAGGAATTTCCTAACCTCAAAAAACAGGTCAAAAATAGTAAAAGTACTAGGAAAAATACAAAAAAAATTCTATATTTAAATGTTCATTTATATGGTTAAGGCCCCGCCGAATGTAAATCCGCGGTCAGAATTGATGAGTCACGTGATGGTTCTTTTTCTAACCTCAAAAAAAAGGGTCAATTATGGTCCGAGGTCAATTGTGTCAAATTCAAGATGGCGGATCAAAGTTGGCCGAACAAATTTTCAAAAAATAACATTCGTGCCAAATTTGGTATATGGGGGTTTTCGGAGTCAGTGATCACGGATTCGATTTGCAAAATTCAAGATGGCCGATCAAATTTTCAAAAAATAACTCGGACAAATTTAGTATACAGGGGTTTTCGGGGTCGCTGATCACAGATCCGAGGTCTATTTTGTAAAATCCAAAATGGCGGATGGCCGACTAAATTTTCAAAAATAACAAATTTGCGCAAAATTTGCTATTATACGGGGGTTTTCGGGGTCACTAATCACGAATTCGAAGTCAATTTTGCAAAATTCAAGTTGGCGGATCCAAGATGGCCGACCAAATTTTCAAAAAATAACACCACAAATTCGAGGTTAGAATTGCAAAATTCATTTTGTAATGTTTTTGTTTACTTTATAATCTGAGTACCCAATTATGTTTTAACCATCTTTTTTTCGGCTATATCTTGTTTTTTTCTGTAATTCACGGGTTTTCTGCCTAATCTCGGGTAATAAGATCCATAGTAATTGATTAAATTTTTAAAAACAAATTTTGTAAATCTGATCTCGGATTCGTGATCAGTGACCCCGAAAACACCCGTATACCAAATTTGGCGCGATTGTTATTTTTTGAAAATTTGGTCGGTCACCTGGGATCCGCTATCTTGAATTTTGCAAAAATGACCTCGAATTCGTGATGAGCGAATCCCGAAAACCTGCGTATACCAAATTTGGCGCGAATCTGTTATTTTTTGAAAATTTGTGATATCTGATCTTAATTGACCCGTTTTTTTGAGATTAGTAAAAGAACCATCATCTGACACATCAATTCTGATAGCGGATTCACATTCAGAGGGATCTTAATCATATAAATGAACATTTGAATATAGAAAAAAAAATTGTTTGTATTTTTCCTAGCACTTTTTCGTGAATATTTGCTATTTTTGACCTGTTTTTTGAGGTTAGAAAATTCCTGTGATGTGTCAGCTCAATTCTGACACCGGATTCATGATCAGAAGGCAAAAATACTAGGAATAACATTTCTTGCATGAAAAGTACAGACAACTTTTTTTTGTGTGTCTGTGACAAGCAAAAATTATTAGAATTTATTTCAGTTGTTACAATTTTTGACTGTAACTTGAATTTTCAAAATAATAGTACATTTACTAAAAAATAATTTGAGAAATAGTAACAACTGAAAATTGAATATTGATTGCAGTTTCTGAACTTAAGAAAATTTTTTACATTTGAAAAATCTGGAAATATTAGTAAATTTTTTGGTTCAAATTTTATATACACCCTGTAAATTATTAATCGGTTGTACCATTAAGTAAGTATTATTATTATTAGTACTCACCTAGAATTTTCGATAACAAAGGCAAGGCGGAACTGATTATCAGCAACAAGGCGCAGTTTCCAATGACAAGGCAAAACGGTGTGCTCTTAGGCTTCGGCCTCACCCTCCTCATGCAAGGAGCGGTGTAGAGACCAATTGACGAGGTTAATATCAGGTAAACTATCAGCACTATTTCTAGTGCGGCGCCAAAAGGCCCTAACTTTGATAGCGAACTCACCCCCAAAGTGAATTGCTGGAAGAAAAGGTATGTTAGAGAATCATGGCATCGCTTTTAGACAGATTTTTACCTTTGAGCTACTAGGTAGTGCTTTAATGCCTATCAACAACGACAGTGTGTTTTGTACTACTAATAACACGGCGATCACTGTCAGTCCGAGAAGAAGCAGCATGGCTACGGGGTACACCACGTTTCTCCTCAACGAAGAAGTCTGCCGCTGCTTATCTGAAATTGATTAATATTTTAAGTTCTAAAGAAAATTGAATGATTTCTCAACTATTACAGATAGTGAAAAATACTTGCGTAAAGAATAAAACCATAACTCGGTCACCAGAATGTCAGTTATTTTAAATTTGCACACATCATAGACCCACACAAATTCATTCAAATTACAAACTACTTGGAAATTTCCTTTCAAGTTACTTTTAAATTGATTTACATTATTTTATGTATTTATAAAAATGATGCTGACACTCCCAAAAAATCAGTATTAACAAAAAATAGACTGTGCAGAGAATATTCCATAGGCGTATCATTTTAGGGGGTTCCAAAAATTGGTAAATATAAGTTCAAGTGCATGTATAAATTTTTTTAAAAAACAATCTTTTAGTGCCACCATGCATTGTCATCCAAACTATATGCAAAATTTCAGCTCGATCAGTTGGAACTGTTTTAAAATTCAGTTACAAGATTTGACCCATAGGTACTAACAAAACAAGTTAAATAAAAGCTTGTAATAAAACTTGAAAATACGTGGATTTTGGTATGAAGTAGGTAGACACTTGTAACAGTAAGTTGACACAGAATCAGTAAAACAAGTTAATCCACTAAAACTACAAACATCCCTTAAAAATGAGATGCACTACCGTTAAGACACTAGAAATCGCTAATTGCTGTTGTCACTACCACTGTCAAAGGTATGATGATAAGTGGTTCTATTACAGCTTTAACTCTTGTATCGGAGTCCCACCTATACATATAATTTGAAAGTTGTGTTATTTCGTGCCACATAAGTTTCTATATTCACCCAGATTAGTTCAATACGGTTCAGCTCGCAGTGATATGACGGTGATAGAAAAAGTGTAGCACCGCGAGCTTTAGCCATTTCATCCACAACATATTTCATGTCTTCCATCTTTTTGTGCAACTGCTAATTGTACTTTTATCACTGTGTCTTAATCCATTCAATTAACTATTCCAAGATTTCTTCTTTTCTCTATCAGATGTTGGCAATTTTTCTATTCGTTGACTATGGTAAGGCACATTATCCACGGCAATCACAAGGTTCAATGTATGGCAAAATAGATGCAAACCATTTTTCAAATATCTCAATGTCTATATTCTCGTCGTAATCTTCTGCTTGTCACAACTCCTCGGATACATATAAACCTGCCTTCAAAATTCTGCGTTCACTTCTGACATGTGTAGTTATTAATCACCGCCCTTTTTCAGAGCTTTTAATCCCATAGAAAATCCTTCTATAAATGTTTCTAGTCTACTGTTGATATTTAAATGACACCAGCCATTGGAGATCATACGTCCTTCATTAATTCATGTTTCGTTGAGAAAAATTTCGTTCTTTTACATTATCATACTTTTTTGTTTTAAGTATGAAAATTCATTTTATGTTAGTAACACTTTCTCAGACAATCTAGGCACATCTTCATCTTTTGCAATTGCAGTTTGAATTTTCAGTAATATTGGAAGTGAGTGCTTTTAAAATAAAATCTGCACATTTAGCGTCACTATCCATTGCAATTTTCCATCTTCTATGTATCTCGCTTTTTACTCTCACCAATTTTTAATGCACAATAAACACTTTTGACACATTTTTGTTAAAGAACTGCATAATTCCATGGCACTACTATTTCATTTTTAATAACACTTATTGGAATTATTAAAATATGAAAATAATAACACGTCTTCTCCACTTGTCTAGATCTAGAGGTATTATTGGAACATTATGCGACATGAAGGGCACATTACAACTTTCATGCAAGGTAGTGGCTGTAATTATGAAAAGCATTTTCAAAGTATTTAGTTATTGAAAATTTTAATTGTAACTTGTTAAATGAGCCACACTTGGTCCAATTTGGTTGGACCAAATTACAGTATTAATTGGTTGGACAGTATTAACAAATTTAATCACTTTAAGTTAGCTAAATCTTGAATTTTGTTTCTGCAGACTAAACTTCTGAGGCAATGATCAAGAAAGTAGAAAGAAGGCGTACAGTGAAGCAATGTGTAAAAAAATAGGATTCCATTTATGCAAGCAGCTCTCATACTTTCCCTCGCATACTACACTTAAATCATCATACCTAACGTTTTCCTCCTTTCTTCTACCGCGATGAGCCTGGCTCCTAGCCCGGACTGCAGCTCTCCGTTCCTTAACCTCAACAGGTTTTCCGGCAGTTTGTACTCTTCCTCAATGAAGGGACCGCTTAAACCAATCGACATTGGCGCGGGACTAACGTAAGATTTCCCAGTGTTCTGGGCGTGTTTCAGTCTTCTACGTAGGCTCTCCTCTTCCATGGCGCAAGCGAAGTATTCCTCGTTGATGTCGCGGAGGAACTGGGGCTTTATCAAGAACTGGCCGACGACGTCGAACAGACGCACAAATCCCAGTGGCGTACATACTAAAAGAAAGTAGTTCCTGTTAAAATCCGCATCCATTCAATGGAATAAACTTACCTAATAGTATCAGTACTCCGAGGAAAGATATACACGAATACAGAAAAGGCAAGTAATAGCTTGTCAAATCTGGAACAAATGAAAAATTAACATCTGTACTAGAACGAAACTATATTTGACTTACTCAGTATTGTCTGGATGCTAGAGTTATCTTTATCTATTAGGGCCGATATGACGTAGGTCATTCCTAGGACGACCATTCCCAAAAGGGCCAGCACGATGAAGGTTTCGTAAACTCTCGCCATCAGTCCTTTTCGATGGCCGAAAAAACCTTCCGATTCCGTGAACAGGTAGGCGAAGGGAAGCAAGATGAATAGGGAGAGGTTGGAGAATATGAACACATAGTTCCAAAGGCCTACAAAACAAAATAATTCTGTTATACAGGGTGTCCCGAAATTAATGCAACAAAATTTGGTCATAGATTCTTAAGACAAATTTAGGGGACCTGTATTTTTTCTTTTTGCCAACTGACCCCTTCTTTCAGAGTTAGAGCCCTCTGAATTCTGCCCCTAAGAATAGTCTGTTTTATATCTCAGAACCGTGTTGTACGAGAATCACTAAATTTGGTACACAGGGGTTTTATGACATGTGGAATTTGATAGTGCTACCCATTTTACCGGGGAACCCCCATATAACACTTTTTCGTGGGCCCCCGTGCCTTTAGAACCAAAAAAATTTGGTCGCAAATTTGAATTTCTTAAAAATTATTAGTTAGCTACAAAGCCATTGAATTTACAAACTTTTTTGTCTCTCAATATTTTTTTCGTAAAATGCAATGTTTTTGAGGAAAATGGCGAATCACGATATGCATTCGATCACATTTTGACATTTTTCTCGAAAACATTGCATTTTACGAAAAAAATATCAAGCGACAAACAAGTTTCTAAATTTAATAACTTTCTAGCGGACTAATAATTTTTAAGAAAGGACCCCGCACATTTTATATGGAAAACGGTCTTTCGGTGAAATTTGCTAAAAATTTGGGAAATTTTTGCCGTTTTTGGCCACTAAAAATTGCCGTAGAGCCTAAAGATGGGCATTTTGAGCTTCGACCCCATTGACACTTTTGATCAGGGGTACAAAACAAACAATTTCCCAAATTTTTAGCAAATTTCACTGGAAGACCGTTTTCCATATAAAATGTGCGGGGTCCTTTAAATATGCGACCAAATTTTTTTGGCTCCAAAGACAAGGGGTCCACGAAAAATTGTCTTAATGGGGATCCCCGCCAAAAAGCGTAGTACTATCAGATTCCACATGTCATAAAACCCCTGTGTACCAAATTTAGTGATTCTCGCACAACAGCGTTCCCAGATATAAAAAAAAGATTATTCTAGATAGATACACATTTATTTAGCAAATGCTATACATACAAACGATTACATAAACTCAAGCAACAAAAATCCTTAAAATAGAAATATATAAAAGTTTACCCTGGTAGTGACCTAATGTAACTAACAATTAGCTTATTGAAATGATTAACTGGCCCATTACAATTTTTTATATATTCTGGTAGCTTATTGTATTGCATAAGACCCTGGTAAAATANTATTTGACATATTTTTTGTGCAAAATAATGAAAATATCAACAATTTTCTTTCAAATTATAGTATCATATTTAGATTGAGCAAAAAATGATAAATGTATACCTGGAACTCCATAACAAGAATTGCAATAAAGATTTTCTCTTGGTTTTTCTTTTATTAGCTTAGAAGATGGGTGACAACTTTTCCTCTAGCGTTTTTACGTAAATTGATCCATAATCTTATAGAATATAGAATATTCCTAAATTTGACATACGTAATTTTGAATGCTTTTTATTTAGCAGTACTCGGGACAAACGTAAAAAAAATCTAAATAAGTATTTAGCTACAAAAACTCATTTGAACAATAACAGTAATAATTAAGTTAAACTTATTTTGTTTAAAGGAAAAGTGTAAACATTTTAGCAGGGCACTGAAAATTTCGAAGCGAGTACAGCATTTAAATATACAAGTTTTTCCAAATTTTGGGGACTCTAACCACCGTGGCTGCTTCTGTTTATGTATTTGGCGATATATTTGAAGCAGAATGACGAATGAAGACTGGCAAGTAAAAATTTTCAAAAATCAATCAATACAAATTTTTCCCAAGCGACACATCCTTGATTGTACATATCTCATACAAGTTTTATACCACAATGCAGAATTTTATAAGTCTTTGTTACAAAATTTAAACAATATGTTTTTCCCAACACCTTATTATTTACCGAGCATTATCATAAATAAAGTTTGTGAATCGATTGCGTGCTTATATAGATAACTATTGCATCATCCACTCCGACACAATGTGATTGTGAAAATATCGATCATGAAATGCACATAAATATGTAAACGATATAATCCTAAGACACCCACCTTGTATAAGTGAAGAATTGAGCCATTTAATATAATAGCTATTCGGATAGTTCACCAAGACCTCGTTGGAGACTATGGAGATGGGCAGCAGAAGAATCGCTCCTACGGAAACCGCCAGGGAAAACGTGCACAGCCAGGTGCTGATCCTGTAGACAGTCACCTCATCTTCGTCTGTGCTGTAATAGTCTTCTCTCCCTCTACGTTTGAAACGGCCCAACAGAGCAAAGCTGAACAGGTAGAGGAGGAGAAAAAGCAGCAGAAAAATCTGGAACAAGTGAAATACATTTATGAGTATGATAAAGATATATCAAATAAGCAAGCCAACTTTCAAATTTTGTAAATTTGATTATGTCCAGATTTGCTGTAAATTTGCTGCGATAACAATTTTTACTTTTTGAACTACTGATTTCATGAGAATTTGTCTTAAACGAATGGTGATAAGAATTGTTTGCCGCGTTGATAGATATTTTTTAATAGGGTTAACTTCATATAAAGTTTGCAAACCATCACATCGAAAATTAATCCAAAACCACTAGATTCCTAAAATGAAAACTGATGGGAATAATTCATATAAAAGTTTGTAGACTGATGGGTTATTTCCAACATATACGAGTAGTGACTGTTTAAGTTAAAAAAATTTAAATTAGTTTTTCATATCTCAGAAACTTACATACTGGCTAAAACAAAAAAAAACTATTTTTAGAATCCTCAGACATTTTACTGCTAAAAATGTTTTTTGTTTCATATCCATACAAGGTACAATTAAAAAAATTAACAATAAAGAACATATCCCTCCTATTAGAACATGCCATAAGTGTAATGTACTTTTTCCTGTTAGCAGCAGACCCATCAAATGTTATATAAGTGTAATCTTGAAAAAATACTTTCACGTAGTTCTATTAAAAAAAAATCTTCATGCTTTTTAAGAACACTACAAAATTTGATGTAATTATATGATACCTCTAGTTGATAATTACATTTTTTATTTAGCATTTACTTCTAAAAAATAAGATGGGACGACATTGTGTAGCATGAAAATCAGTTTTACTTGAAAATTGCGCACCTAGGCACTTTTAGATTTATTTCCCTGTATAGTAAAATTATTTTAAATAAAAATAATAATTTGAAAATGGCTTGTTATTTTAAAAAAATGAACAATCTTCATTCTTTGAGATAAAATCAAGAATTAAAAGGGCTGAATGAATTTTCAATATTCAGTTCTGTCGAAAATTAGGGGTTGTCTTGTTGTATCTTCCAGTATCTCTGCCCAGTTTGGTATCATTTTTTATAAATTAAGAGAATGTATACCTTTACCCGAGCCTTTACCTCGGTGTTCGATATAATTTTAATAACGTCAAATATTTTTTGAGATGTTTGCGTAGATGTAATATTTCACAAAAACGTATAGTACCTAATCTGGTTTTTAAAATAATCTAAGGAATCACCTCCTTTATTATTCGAGTTTATTTAAGAACCAAGTTAGCGCCTCCTTTTTTTAACTATAAACGCAGGAAAACACTGATTTTCGTTAGTAAAGCTACGGTAAATTGCAAAATGGTTATTTTTAAATGGGGTGACCTGCTATCTCTACCTATATAAATAAACTTCCTAAGCCACTCTTATTTTTATTACTTAAAAGGGTGGAAAAAAAATTTTTTCACCATTAGTTTACGGCAAATTCTGATACAGTCGAAATCGAGGGTGAAATCGCAGGAGTAATTTGGTGTGCAAGCTTGAGTAACATTTGAGTAATACTGAGTGTTATTATTATTAGAGTAATACTTCGGTAAGAGTTAAGTATTAAAATTTAAAACAATTACTTTTATCACACGTACGATGCGTGCACGCATCTGAAGCCGTTAACTTTATATAAAGTTAGCGAGCCTCATCTATATTTTTTTAATGAGTGCGGAAAAAAGTAGTTTTCACGATAAATTCCCACAATCAAATTACAACATTTTAAAGTTGGCTTGCTAACTTATATATCTTATAAAATCGCATACATTTGAATGATATAGTTTTTGGATAATTTCATTTTAATAAATTTATTAGTCAGTGTGTGAATTTACAAAAACGCAGTGTTTCATTTAAGATGCATTATGCTCAATTATGTGAATAAAACTGCATCCAATGGGGTCATGGATATTTCCTTAAAAGAAGTTAGAATAAATCGCACACATTAAAACTAATCTCCCTTTTTTTCCGTAGTTTCGAAGAAATGCTGCGAAAAATATTGACAGAGGGATTAGGAATTTCTACATTTATCACGAACATATCGCATATCACGTCAAAAATTGAACAAACGCGACCTTCATGTTTAATCACGTTTAATATTGGTACACACGCGCGATTTCTATTGGCTGCAAATCTCTATCAGCATAAAAGGTTAAGGATACTGTAATTAAAAATAAATATGGTTACTTTTACATGCATAAAAAATCAACTTAAAAAAAAGTAGGTACATCATACATATAAAAGTTTGGAAAACTAAAGTGAAGACTCCATTGTCTTCATAAAATTAAATTTCGGTAAATGATTTTTGTGTACAAAAAGAATAAAAATGAAATAGATATTTTGTAACTATATGTATACTAATGATTTCATACAGGCGGTATCATTTGAAACGTAGAAGCAATGGAATTATAAAAATTTGGTCCATTATTGTGAGAACAAAAATAGATCTTATGAGACACATTGCCGAAATATATGTGGAACTCAAATAAACGTTTTGTTTTAAATTATTACATACAAGGTTAAAAATAATGGTTTTTGTACATATGTATGTAAATATATTTTAAATGAGTATTTACAAATGGAATTTAATGGTAAACAGAATAGATACGCTGCGCGGTTTTGTTCAATTTATCTAAATATGTAATGTTTTGATTGTAGTAAGATATTGTTTATAGTCGATTGATATTGAAACGTTTTCAATTTCACGCCACAGAAACAATTTCCTAGTGAAATATTAGTAATAGCAATTAAATTAAAAAAAAACAAATTATGAATTCTTTCAATTCGAAAAAAAAAAAATAAAATTTAGACATCGTTCAAGGCCATGCATGGTGCACCATCTTATTATCGTCAGTACCTACGTATATATTCATTTTTTGCAACGACATTATCTCTTCCTAATCTATAAATAGACAGAACTTTAGTCGAGTCAATAAATTATATACATTCATTTATATAAATATTTATGACAAGTTAATTGTACCGTTAATCTCCAAATTAAACTTTTGATATACGAAAAAGGAATTAATTCCGGAAGTACAAAAAACCAAGTACATTTTCAGAACAAGTTTGCAGTTGCTAGGTAAACTAAAAACCATATTTTCATAATGGAACTCCTTTAAAATTACGTGATAAGAATATTGACTCAACTAAACAAGGAAAAGCTAATTATTTGATAAAATTCCTGCTACAAGTAAAAATTCTTTAACATAAATAAAATACCTGCTTAGTTAATGGATTTAGAAAGTAATTGACATACCTATATACATAACTAAAATAGCTATAAAAATTCTTGCAATAAACATTCTTGTTTGGCGAGTGACAAATAATTCTCCTTTTGGTTACACTTTCCTCGAAGGTTAATAAAACCATTTACAGATCAATTTAAAAAAATACAGCTGTCGTATCTTACGAACAAATAACATATCTTATTTATATTTTTTAACTGTAAGAACCTTTGTACAACAGTTTTGTCACCTTCCAATAAATTAAATTTGGATGATGGTGGTACAAAGTACAATGTTTCCATTTCCATTAGTAATACTAGTATCATCAAGTATCATGTACATACATTTATCTTAAATGAAGCTTACTTGGGACTATGGCGCCTATTATTGCCAAGTACATCTGATTAGATTAAATTGTTTTATTTAAATATTTTCCACTAGGTTCACCCGAGTTTTCTACTTATTTTAAACCATAATGAGAATTTTCCAATGTTTATTTATATCTTAACTACCTATTTTGATAGTTTTAATCTTTTGACATGTAACCAAGATATTCACTGACCACAATGCCGATGCTACTTTATGGGTTTTCCCGAAATAGAAGCTCGAATAACCTTATAAAACAAATGCTTTACTATTAGAACGTGATTATTATAATGCCAGTTCATGTCCTTGCGTTATCAACATTTAATTGTGCTAAATGCAGAACTGTTTTAAAGCTGTTGCATTGACGCGAGTATTTACTATAGGGAAAGTACGAAGAAGATAGAATTATGAATAGATTAGATAAATGCTACAAATAGATAAATTCGTACTAACAATAAGTACTTCAAAAATGCGGGTACTTCACAAATAGTTTATAAACACGTTCGAAGGTGTCGCTTAGAATTATGTAACTGTATTCCTTTGTCGTCTAAATGGATCTTTAAAAAATAATAATGATTGAATTTGTGCCTGATTTAAAGTTATCTGCACTGCCTGCCCGCAATAGAATAAACAGGATGTTTATCAAACATGCGGAAAAAATTCAAGGTGTTATTCCCTGGACTATTCTAAGAATATTTTGTTCTCTTGATGATTTTGCCGCTTTGTTGCGAAGATACAAGGCGAGGAAAATTTTCAACAATAACAACATTTTATTACCGCAAATTACATGTAAAACTTCTTCATCTACAAGAATTGATAAAAATGACTACTTCCAGCTGAGAAGCAAGAATCCAATCTTCTCCTCATTGACTGCCGAACTCTTTCAAAAACACCAGGGTCGTTTCTTATTGAGTTATACCCAGCAATTATCCGATTTCTTAAATCTTCCATTTATTTTTTTTCATTTCCACTGGAGTAGTATAAACTGTAGATGACCCCATAGGAAATAATCCAGGGGGTTTAAGGTTTAAGCCCACACCATGTATATAGATATTAAATTTGAAATAAATCTATTTTAGTACGGTCCGATGTAAAAGACCCTTGCACATTTAAGTCTTTTTTAATGTTACGTGCCGAATACGCCGTCGTCGTTTCATGCTCTGTGGAGTGTTAACACACTTTTCTACCATGCCTACGCATTGGCTGTATGTTACATTGTGATTCCTCGATCACCGTGACAACTTCCTTTTATTTACATCCGCATTTGATAATTAGTTAAAAATCGCGTAGATACAATTTTGCAATATGATCCCGTCTAGATTATGAATAAAATATGTCTAGGTTTGCCGAATTTTATTCATAATATGTAACTAAACAAAGATGAGTGGAAATTTTGTAATTAATTATCTTTTAACACGTAGAAATTTCTTATATGTAT